ACTACATCAGCCAGTTCCCTCAGGACTCTGGGATGCATCTTGTCAGGTCCCATAGACTTATGTATGTTCCGGTTCCTCAGGAGGTCGCGAACCTTATCTTCTCTGACAGTGTAAGGGACTTCGCTCACCCAGTCCCTGACTTGCAGTCCATCCACTCAAGAGGTGGGGCAAGAGAGGTTGCCAGTGAAAACTGAGGCAAAAAGTTGTTGAGTACCTCAGCCTTCTCCTCATCCATTGCTACCAGTTTGCCAGTCTTGCTCACCACGGTCTGTACGATTTTTTTGACTAATTTTCATTGGTCTATTCAAAGAACAGCCCCATGTGAATCCATAGAATAAAGTTATCCATTTGTGGCTGGTTCTTCAGTACATAGCTTTTTAATTCTTTTGTGCATATGTAACATACAGTTGGTGTCAGAATGTTTTTTGACCAGTATCAACTATAAGGTGAAGGCTAGCACTCTGTATACATTTACAAGAATACAAACAATGCTCTCAGATACCTGTGAGAAAAAAATGACTGATAAAATTCCCAAATCCCTCAATTTTTTTTGTGTGAAATCCAGTTCTGGTTTCTATAGAGTTTAGTACTAAGGGAAAGCAAGAAAAACATAGAATATGAACAATATGAATCACAGAATCACAGAATCTTAGAGGTTGGAAGGGGCCTCTGTGGGTCATCTAGTCCAAGCCCCCTGCCAAAGCAGGGTCACCTACAACAGGCTGCACAGGACCTTGTTCAGGCAGGTCTTGAATATCTTCAGAGAAGGAGACACTCCACAACCTCCCTGGGCAGCCTGTTTCAGTGTTCCTTCACCCTCAGAGTGAAGAAATTCTTCCTCATGTTCTGACAGAACTTCCCATGGTTCGATTTGGGATACTGGAGCTCGGGATACTGGAGCAGGGGGAACATCACCATTTCCTGCCACACTGTCACTTTCTTCCTGCCATGTTGTTGTTTCCTGCCACAGCACTGTTTTCACTTCGAGATGCACCTCTGCACGAATCACAACGAGTTGCAGTAGTTTTGCCTATATATGGGTTGGGGGTTTAACCATTCAAATGCTGTAATAGTTATGCTATATAAACCTTGTTTTTGCTGACTAATAAAGGTGAACGATCATACTCATATTGGGGTCACATCATTACAACGGATCCGTAACCCACACCAACAGGGCACCACTGAAAAGAGTCTGGCCCCGTCCTCCTGACACTCACCCTTCAGATATTTATAAGCATTTATGAGGTCCCCTCTCAGCCTTCTCTTCTTCAGGCTGAACAAGCCCAGCTCCCTCAGCCTTTCCTCATATATTACATGTAGTTTATATAAACGTCTGCTCTTTTATTATATGTCCATATATCATCTACTTCTGATGATTGACAAGTAGTACCCTATTGAAAAAGTTGACAACTAAGAGGCTGTGTGAATTAATGCCAGAGAGCAATTTCAAAATGTGTACCAAATATAAATATTAAACAAAGTGAACTCTACCGGCATCTCTGTCATACTCCTGAAATGTAAGAAGTGTAATTTCACCCCTTTCCGTCATACTTTTCTCCCTTATAACAGGCCTTGAAGAATGCAGGCAGTCCCTTAGCCATCACTGGCTACAAGTTTGCTCTCCAGTGCATACTAAATATGCAGCATCATAACATTATGGTGTCTTTCAGAAAACTGAATGCCTATATTAATACATTCCCTAATATACCTTTCCAGAGAGTCGTTTTGGAAACTAGATTTCTACCAGACCATCAATATCAGGACCACATGAACACCTTGTTAATGTAAAAGGCAAAATATTGAACTAAACTGTGATGAACTTTTTTCTAAGCAATTTTGAAATAGTAAAGTCCTGTTATCATCTGATAACATCCTATCTGCAAATAAGCACACATATAACCACAAATTTAATAAATATTAATCAAGCACACACACAAAAAATATGAAACAAAGAATGAAACCTGGTTCTTATAGGAGTGGGTAAGAAATGGGAGAAAAAGGCAGGCACTCAATCTCTGCTGCAGTCTTAAAGTGCCTCACTTGCAGAAGCAAATGGTGAATTAACATGCTACAGAGAGAGAAGTGATACCTTATTTTAGACCACGATGCACATTTTTTGGCTTGCACAGATTACGAGAAAATTCTGCAATAGCACTTTATCTCACTATTTATCTCGGTGCTATACACGACCTTTTGCTACTTAACACTCAAGTACTTACTTTATCTGCCTTAATAGATGCTAAAGCCAGTTCCTTCTCCTTAACGGCCAACTCCTGAGAGAGTTTAGCAACAGATTCACTGGCCTCCAGCAGCTTAGACAGACCTATAAAGTAAAAGATAAAATTCAGAAAAATGAAAACTATTTTTTTCCTACTTAGATGATATAATCTAGCTCTAGATCCCAAATGCCTTGTACCTTGTGTTCTCATTTAAACTTGCATAAAGGAGAAAAAGTGGGTGTAAGCAGACATACTTTCATGATTGTGCTTACTATTCAGTTTTCATAGATATAAATAATCTCAGAAGGTACAAAATGAATATAATAAAGCTCAATTCTTCAAAAAAGAAAACTATACTACTTAGTTTTAGTTTGTCATAGCTGTAAACAGTACTTAAAAGCATATAGCTGGGATATTACCTGCAATAAAATATATCCTTACGCTCATTATATAGGCTTCTTAAAAAAAAAAGAAAAAGAGGAAAAAAAAGGAGGGGTATGTCAAGGATATGTTGTACCATAAGGTCACAGGACAGTCAGAAAATCAGATTGATTGTGCATTTGTATCATTGCATGAGGAAATGACATAATTATTAGTATCCTTAACTGCCTTCCAATAGGGAGTTCTTTCTAGAAATAAGTGGGAAGAAGTAGAGGCACCAAAAGTGGCCCCAAAGGTCACGGTATGTTTACGACTTCCAGTTCCTACATACTGAGTTTATCCTCTCTTGACCCTGGTGACAGAGTGCGCAGAAAAGCACGTAAAAGCATCTGCGCCCGCCTGGCCTAGGACCAGTCCCACCATAGCTCTTATCTGTGCTGAAGCAACCAGCGATAGAGCCCGTTCAGCCTTACATTAACAGTTGCCTTGATACAGATGCGTTTGCTCCCCCTATCATTATTATATAATCAGTCTTTCCCATGCATTCATGCATTCTTCTTTTCTCTCCTCTCTTGCTCATGGATTTGAGCACAGATATCTGGCTATTCTGAGCTCCACATTGCATGCTGAAGCCTCTCTAGCTTCTCCTCTTCATTACTGAATCTTAAAATCTTGCAACTTGCCTGGAAGCATTCCCCTTACCTCCCTCTCTCCCTAAGAGCCAGAGTCAGAGCACACTTGCAGTTATACATTTGATGTGCAATGTTTCTCTGTGATGTCTCTCCACTCTTCTGTTATCACACTTCATACAGACAAGCATTCTCTCCTAGCACATTTCTTGTTCTTCTGACACAGCTGCCTCACAATCAGGTCATTCTACAGGCTCTTTATTATTACTCATCAAAAGACATGTTATTTTGTTACTCTCAACAATAAAGTTCAAAGGTATATTCACTGAAAGATGTGGACTGGGAGACAAGAGGGATGTTTTAGAATGTTTCCTTTTCCCAGACATATGCCACTTCCTAAAACACTCTGGGGGGCAGAGGTACACACACACTAACGTTGTCCCCACCTCCCAATCCTCTGACAGCCATTTCCAAAATGGTTGTTACTTCACTTCACTGTAAAAAAAAAGTTCTAAAAGAGAAGCTATGAAAGGGAAAGTGATACCATTTCCTGCAATAGCTTTCCCTGCTATAATCCTAGAATGAGAAGAAATAAAGATGGACAATGAATGGAAATACGCAGAACAAGAAGAACAGAAGAACTTCTGTTATAAACAAGAAACCTTGATAGCTTCTTCAGCTCCCCTGCATACTTCCAATCACAAGAAACATTACAACAGTACCATGCCAGCAGATAATTTTTTTTTAGTGCTCATAGTCACAGACGAATGCCTGACTTAGGCATTAGAAAACAGGAATAGTATTTTTCAGAGAGATATGTAGAACTCCATGTAAAAACCTTCCTGATATCAGCAACAACTTATCTAAGGCAAGTTAAAAAGTCAGCATAGATTTTGAACCTGTAGAGAGAATCAAAGTAATCTTTATCTCTTGTCAATGCATTTTGTAGCTTGTCTGAATGATGACTGCCAAAAAGTAGTGAATATAGAAAATTTATAAAAATCTTCATTAAAATACTAAGCTACAGTATCCTTAGAACCTCAAATATGTAATTTCCGTCACTTTTAATTAGCAGGACATCTAACAACAAGTTGCCTATATGGATGTCACGCCCACTTTGACAAAGCTAAACTGAGGTCTTCTTGTACAACTACAGTTCTACAAGCAAAGACCTCAGCACAGGAAAGACATGGACCTGCTGGAGCAGGTCCAGAGGAGGGCTACAAAGACAATCAGCGGGAGGAAACACCTCTCCTATGAGGACAAGCTGAGGGAGTTGGGGCTGTTCAGCCAAAAGGAGAGAAGGCTCCGGGGAGACCTTGTTGCAGCCTTCTAGTAACTGAAGGAGGTCTACAAGAAAGATGGAGAAGGACTTTTTACAAGGGCCTGTAGTGATAGGACAAGGGGTAATGGCTTTAAACTGAAAGAGGGCAGATTTAGATTAGATACAAGGAAGAAATTCTTTACTATGAGGGTGGTGAGGCACTGGAAGAGATTGCCCAGAGAAGTTGTTGATGCCCCCTCCCTGGCAGTGTTCAAGGCCAGGATGGATGGAGCTTTGAGCAACCTTGTCTAGTGGAAGGTGTCCCTGCCTATGGCCGGGGGGGTGGAACTAGATGATCTACAAGGACCCTTCCAACCCCAACCATTCTATGCTGCTATGTGAAAAGATATTTTCTACACATGTGGTGCTCTACCAAAGATTTCCCCAGATGGATTCTGAGAGAAGACACACGATGTTAAGCATTCAGAAACAATTGTAACTGTCATTGGATCTCAATTTTTTCCTCATCTGTCTTACGAGATCTTTCACCCAAAGTGACAAAGCAGAAAAGAGATTATTTCTATCTTTCAAAATATGTTGCTCGTATAGACACTACCATGCTGACAAGCACAATTTTAGTATGCTTGAGCCAGGGACTTTTCTAGAAATCAGTACTGATCGGGGTATTTCTTACAACTTTGCTACTTTGGAAGCATCTTGAATTGGCCCAGACATCATTACATACAGGAAAAACACTTCAATGAGCTGAAGAGAGCGACATTATCTCAGCTGAGTTTAGTAACATAAAATTTAAATTCCATATCAGGATAATCTCCTAACAAATTGAAACAACTTTCAAGGCTAATCTTTTTAACCTTCTAAATCTTTTTGACACTAAGTGATGAAAGACTAAGGATTAGAGGATGGATGTGTGAGATAGTAGCTAAATAATTCATAAAAAACTTTTTGAGAAATTTCCTTAGGATGCAGTAAACAGTGGAGCACGTTTGGAGTCAGAGATGACCAGTATTTTTGTTATTTTGTAATACAACTGTTCTACGCAAGTGAAACTATTTAGAATATTTTCTAACTGGCATGAATATTGCCTGTAGCTTGCACACATGTTTTTCTGAACATCAGTGATAAAGATGCTGCAGTAGAAGATCTACATGATCATTTTGTTTTGAAGATCACGTAAGATATTAGCAATAATATGTGAGAGACTAGGAAATCTATGTGTGACATTTTTTTGACAGTGCTGAAGCTACTTAGGTTACTTTTTAAAAATTATATTTGAAAACAGAAGAACTGGAAAAAGAATACAAAAAAAACCCACCATCACAAATCTTCAAGGTGCTCAGATTATATCCTCATCTCAAGCAGGACTAGTGATAAATTCTGATTTCTAGAACTGGCAACAGACCCATACAAAGAAATTTGCATAATGTGGAAATATTGAGGATCACTTACCCCTCTACATTCCACTGCAATTCACCAATTTGTGAATAAAATAAATAGCTGCATGTTCTTATTCTATTCTTTTCTTCATGAAGAGTACCAGTTGCATTGTTAGTCATTGCCTAAATGTTGCATCCTTATATCTTTGCATGAAAAATCTTATCATGAAGACATTCTCTACTCTGTTAGACTGCTATACATTATCTTTTCCCATAAAGACCAAGTTTCCTAAACTCTTCAGTTGCCTTTGTAGATTTACAAAACCATGTCTAGATGCAAACTGGAGAAAACTGGAAATGTATTCTGAACCCATTAAGTACTAATCCAATGCCAAAAATTAGGTAATTTCAAATAGATATCCAAAATTAGAAGATTTCAATCATAGTTTTCTGTATTTCAGTTTCCTAGATATACAATGACCACAAGTAAAAGTTACGTATTCTACATTAGAAATATGAAATTAATCAACTGTGAAGTGCCCAGATTGTATAGCGAGAATTTCCATAGACAAGTGCAGAAGTAAATTAATAACCATGTTTAGAGCTACCTCTCTCTACACTGCTAAATGAGATGCTCTCTCTGGCCATTTTCAGGTTGTACCTTGTATTACAAATGCTAAATTGGAAATATTAAAATTTAATGTAACGCTGAGATAAATGATTAAGCTGGCAGCTTTTTTGAGGCATTTTTGTAAGAGAATCACTTTGAATTGTTGATAGCTGAAGTGCTGGAGTTTTGAACTGTGATCCAGTGATTTTAAGTGATCGCTGAATAAGTAGTCGAGTATAAAAATGCAGATGATTTGAGAACATACATGGAAATGTATGTTTGTCCCTATTTTGCTTACCAATTTGCATATGTTCAGCTTGTTCATTAATACTCTCTAACTTTTCAGTATAAACTTCTTTGTAGCCATTGACGAAAGAGAGATATGATTTAGGTGTTACATAAGCTCTTCTCCAATACCTAGAACACAGTACATTGGAAACATCAACTTCATATGTATTTTTGATATGTAACACCATTTGATAATTTCCAGTGAAACAGAAGATTACATAAATCAAGTCCTTAATTTAGTTAAAATCTAATTTCTTCATAATGCAAACCCTTATTTCTAATTACATTGTTTTTATCCACATAAGCAATGCTAAAGATTATTCAATAGTGGAAATGAAAATATTGAATTTGCAACATAATAGTAACTAAGTTTCATGGCATTTGTATATATTGATATCGCAGGTTTATTTTTGTATTAGCATTAAAAGACACTTACTGATTCATATAATACAATGAGTCCAAAACACACGATCAGTAGCAACAATTTTGGGATTAATTATTGCATTTGTGTAAAATATTACCTTTGGAAATAATTCTCACAGCTTTCTGAAACTATATCATGAAAGAGACCCATGGTTTCCACTACTTGTGTTTTAACTGTTGCAGAGCAGACCATATTAAATTCTGAAAGAAAATAGCTGGCAACAGCCACAAGATCTTCCTTGGGCCGTTGACTGAACCAGTCCATGGTGCACCCTGATATGAGACCAGGAAATTTCAAAGAACGTGAACGGAATTTCTCACCAACCTAAAGAGAGTAACACAGTTAGTTTATGATATAATACTTAATTAGGCAGATAAAAGTGTTTCATTCCTATAAACAACTACTCTGATTTTTTTCTTGCTAATTTTCTGTTTAGAAAACCCTGCACGTTTTTTTTCTTTTATATAAGACAAGTAAGATTTGCTAAATTTCCAACATTCAATATTTTATGACATTTGAAGAAAGAAGCTCCTGACAAATATAAATGTCTCTTAATATTTAAAAACTTCAATTAACTTATTTAAATTTCCATTGAATTCTTGTTTTCAAGTAACAAGCACGAAATTCACAAAGATTCAGTCATTGATTTGTATGAAGAAAGAATATGACAGGAGGAAAAAAAATAATGTGCAAGGAATGATTTAACTTTTAAGTATTTTGGTTTTAAGTTCTGACAATTGTACTACTATTTTTATTATCTTAGCAATTATAACCAGACTTAGGTAATCTTTTCACACATCTTTAAATGTCCTTGAAAACATAAAGATTGAACAATCCTGTCACACATTATAGAATAATTTGCTAATGGAATTAAGGAAGACAGATATGAAGAAAAAACTTACTGGAGAAAAGCAGAGGACAACATGCAAGTTCTTCTTTGCCCGAGTTAAAAAGTATTCATAAAGATTATCAAAGGTAGGAGGACACCGAGTCATCTCTTTTTTCATCACAGGCATTAATCCTTGGGTGATTTCATCCAATTCATCCCGAGCAAAAAAATTAGAAATCTTTTCATAAAATTTAAATTAATAAGAAAATAAATTCTATGAATGTAATTATTATAACTGTTTACAAATATTTCTCTGTTTACATCTGTCTCTCTCTCTGCTTATATACAGTTCAGATAGATAGATTAAAAACCTAATTTGTCCCTGTTTTAGAATTCAAGTAATTCCATTAAAAATTAAGAAGCCTAACTCCTGAAGAGTACACATCTTCACTGGCCAGTGAACGTTTATTTAATAAAGGCTACTGAAATACCCATCACAGCTCCTTTCCTTTTCCTGGCTTACACTGAATTAGAGATACAGGAACTCCATATCAAAAGCATTCCTTATATTAAAAGTTGAGATATTTTAGAGTTAATCATTATTGATTCTACAATTTATTACCAAAAAAACCCAGAAATACACGAGTGGGAAAAAATTCTGCAATTTTCTGCTTGTAAAGTACATTGCCTGTCACACTGAGACTCTTACCTCGCCTGAAGACAGCAGATTATTAACATATTCCAAAAATGACTCCTCTTTTATTTCATTATCAGTGAAAATAAAAGTGATACCTTGTCCTTCTATTCCAGCTGTTCTATACAACAACTTTAAATCATCTGACAGATTGCTTACATTATAGGATCTAGCAGGAATAAGAAACATTACCTGTTAATTCAAAATTAGTCAGTATACTGCTATTGTCAGATTATAGTGTTTTAGAAATGATAGTGCAAACATCCTTTGTAAAAACATGTATTTTGGCTCAGGAATAGCTAACACAGGGTCCAGCTTTTTCAGGTTAAACTTAATCCAATGCTGCATACAAACCAGATAAGAATTTATTGTTTTGCACATTTTTAAATGGTGACAAAATGAAAAAAGAAAGGCTGGTAAAAACATAAAGTTATGACTGTGTAAAGAGAAACCAATAACATAAATTTGATTTCTATATTTCTTGCGTTTCCTACCTGGTTAAAATGATCTGAAATATTTTATAGCCTGCAATAAAGCAGGCCAATCTTGAAAGGCTTTGCTTTCCAGAACCATCAACTCCAACAAGTAAAGCATTTCCATACGCTGTCCGAATTATCCGAGAAATCTATGTAGGAAAAAATAGAAGAAAAATTCATTAATAAATTTTAATTAAAATATTACCTAGTAAAATCAAAAATCTGTTATACTCTACATTTTATTTACTAGAGCACAATGTAAACATTATTAAAAGGATACTCACAGAAAACTTTTCCTCTCATAAGAACACTTGTACATTCTTCAGGACTTTGGTGTAGCTAATAAAAAAGCTGCACGTAAGAATATAGGATAGTCATAATTAGTTACACACAGGATTTAAATACCTAATGGGAGACATTTTGAGTTTAATTTTATGTTGAGGTATCATCCTGAATGTGTGTAAAAATATCAGTTAAAAAACTTTAGCTAGAAGAATAACATACTACATTCCTAATTTTAAAAGTCTGAAAGACTTGGACACATTTAAACTATGATTTAGTGTTATCTTCTGTTTTCTCTACCTTCAACATTTCCTTTGAGATAGTTTTCTTAAAAAGTCTCCCAGATACAAAAACTGGATTACGAATTTACTATGCTATTGCTTTTTTACATGTCTCCTGTATATACACCACACCTTCCTTAGTCTCATTATATCTTAGGGCACTATTATGTTTGAGATGCTACAGTTTACTTTGCCACTCATGTAAATTGTGTACAAACTGTAAAAGATTGGCATCTACATCAAGCCTTCAAATTCTATTAATTTTTTCCTTCAAAGAAATTTTGCTTTTATGCACAGTTCCCTCTGAGCCTATCCTGATAACTATATTAAAATAGAAGTCTAAATGTGAAATTTTGAAGGTGACTAAATTTACTGTTAACATAATGACAGCAGGGCTCCTATCAACTACCTAACTGCATACCGCACATATCCTGGTTAAAACTTGCCAATGGAAATGGAGTATCAGAGACTTTCAAGGTCTTTTAATATTCACCTAGCATCACATGAACTGTATTTAAAAATAAAATTATTTTCTTGTGTTTAAATGCAAAGCAAACAAAATAATTTACTTCACTTGAGGTCAACTTAGAGAAGAACGAAACATCTCCTTTTGGTTTGGTTTCACTGTGGATGCTATGCATCTTTCAGTAAACAGATCATCAAGTTAAAGTAATTTGTGAGATAATTAACACAACATCTTAAACCTGAGGCAAAAAAAATCTCATGCTCGGCCTTTTTTTTTTCCCCTCATGAATCATATTCTGACTTTGGATGAATTCTTTCCTTACATCTCCCTCTCTGAATAGGAGTTCAAATGATTCTAAACTGAGACTTTCCTCTACCTTAGACACTGATTCTACTGCAGCCCTGATTTACATTTCTTTTTATGTCTCTCATCCAGTTAGATTCTACCTCACATTGTTTTGGTCACTTGTCAGGTACAGATACCTTTGAAGTGTTCTCTGAATGCTTTGTGATTAAAGATCATTCTACATACAAAACATAAATGTGCCTCTCTATGACCTCAGCTTTCCTACTGAGGAAATTCTTCATACTTCTGAATACATACAAGCTTAAACAAATAGACAAAATACAGTATTTATTCCAAAACATGCAAACAGGTAAAATAACTGCAGCTCTTTCCTAGTTCTTCAGAGTGACTAGGCAACTATGGCAAGCAAGTTTGGGGATGAGAGTAGCCCTCTAAGCGTAGCTTGCCCAAATCAGGAACTCTGTTGCAATGGTTAAACTAATAAATAATTAACAAACCCAAAACCTTAACAAGATGTGTCATTGCATCCTTAAAAAACAACAAATCAAGAAATGATCCTCTAATACATTCATTGTATTGTCTCTGATACATTTGCAATTTTTCACCAAGATATTCAAAGCTTGGAATCTGAAAAAACAAAATGAAACAGGAAAAAAAACCAGTAACAAAATTAGTGCAGCCCTTCAGAATTTAAAACTGTACTGACATTTTTACACAAACTTGAGTTCATGTATGGGTCACACGTAATGACATTACTGTTAATTCATTGTAGTGAATGTAGTTGTGTTTAAGCAGAAATTTTCTGCTAATGGTGGGGAAAAAGGAGCAAGGAGAATAGGAATGAATAAACTACAGCTATATGGTATTATTAATTTCAACATCATTAAAATGATTTATTGCATAGTAACTAGAAAAATCTAGCTATATCTTCACAAAAAATGTGGTAGGTATTCAACAAAACTTTCTGTATGATATGAGTTAAGCGAAATAACATGCTCAATAAAGGAAAACTTCAGTGTCTAGCATTTTAGGTGTAAAATTAAATACCTCCTCATAAATTTTTGGTAGTTGAAACACAAAATCTTCTGGTTCGTCACCAGTTGGTTCAGGCATCTCCCGCAAAAAGTCTACAAAATATGGTTCAGCTTGGAGAACTTCTGTTAAGCCTGTACTGACATATTCCTCGATTGCTTTAGTAACAGTTTTATCAAACCAGGCTGTATCTTCAGGAGTAATAAATCTAAAAATCACAGATTAATACAATTTTTAAAACCTCATTTCTAGTTATATAGAAAGAAAAGAGATAATTAAATATTAAAAAAAACTTGTTACATTTCAAAGAAAAATGCATATTAGGCAATACACATTAGACAATCGTCACAGAAATGGATTAGGCAATATGCACAGAAATTAAATGCTTCCATACTCTAAAGTGTAATAGTCACTCACATAAAACATAGAAACAACTTGACTTTCCAACTTTCACCTAGAACTAGGCAATGACAGACCATTTAATTTCTCAGATGAAACAGAATGAAAAAGCTTGAATGATTTCCCAAATAACCATGGCTAAGTGACTCTTACCATCTTTCAACCTGCAGCAGAATAGCATAATTTATGTTATTATAGTACTGCCCATGAAACTGCAATGAGATAAGGAATAGTGAAAAGAAGACAGTATATGTCAGTACAACCTAACTTGATTTTTAATCCCTCTTACACCACAATCCATAGTTAACTGAGAGGGATATACACTGGGGGAGGAGGAGTAATGCAGATTGAAATAAAACAAAAATCAGCAAACAAAATCCTAGTGACTACATTTAATTGTTTAAACAACTGTATCTTCTTCCATTTATAGGTTCAAGATGGTTTTAATACAGATCAAGATCTTTGCCCACTGTGATTATCTGTGGCTAATCTGGCAATCAAGTATGACACTCAGTAGTCACTGGTAAACATAAAAGGTGAGAACCACCTCAACCCCAGAAAAAGGGAATGCCAACTGTGAACATCAAACTACAGAAAAAAAAATCATCTTTACTTCTTTTCCTTCTCAGTGATACCGCTGAGAGGAAAATAGGACAAACATGGAAAAGCTGTACACAGTGCTCTGAGTTTTCAAATAAGACATAGAATACTAAAGAACTGTGGTACAGAGACAGCACAGACATACACTACATACTTCATTATTCTTAGAGGTTCTTAGTGATGATGTTATAATACTAAACATTTTGGAATCTGAAAGCAGCGTGGAAGAAAAGAAGGACAAAAGAGATAGTTTCTTGTTTTTCAAATTCCCCACAACAAACTAAAAAAAAAGAACATTTCAGTAAAGGTCAGTGATATTGCTCCTAACTTTAGAGCAGAAAATAATACACTCCAAGCTGTACGACTCTTTTGCACCAGTGGGTATGATCCTAACTTCAGATTCAAATTAAACATTTTCCCTCTTTTTGTATCAACAGCATTCTATTGCATATGTAAATACATATGCGTCAATTTCAGGTAATTTGTATGTTCGTATAATATGAAGTAGTTCAGGCACTGTTAGTTCCTCAGTGTTAGACTTTGTAGTGGATTTACACTGAGAAGGCTTTCTCAGACTATAGGTAAGTAACTATTAAAGTCAGCAGAAAACACCGGCCTTCATTTTTATATTCTTGACAACTGATGGATAAGATTTCCTTTCAGATTTCCTGCACGCATGTTCTGAACTCAGCATGTGCATCTAAGGAGAGAGGAAGTGAGCAAGATTTCCAACATCCAAAATTTCCAAATTCCAGAGTTCCTCTGGGGTAGTGGAACTGGTCACAATAGCAATCTTACTTCCTTGGTTCTTAACTCAAGTTTGTTAATGCACTTTCCTGGGGAAAATGAGAAGGCATCTGCCAGCTGATTCAGAGCTCTCATGCAGGAAAATGAGGGATTCTAGAAGATACAGGTAGCGATGGTAAACAAAACTGACAGTGGTCTACTTTTTGTTTGGAACTATTTCTAACATTTACTTGAAATGGAGGGCAGTTGTTTTATCCACCAGTTTCAGCAGTGTGTAATTCATCTCTAGGTTTTATATATTGTTTTCTTTCTGTTTCAGCTGAGTACATACTAAATCCCGCATACCAGTCTTTACCTGGGAGGATTTAACTTTGTCCCTCTAATCTTTTGCAAGCAGAGATGGAGCTCCTTATTTACACCTTGGCTCTTTGTTTTATTTTAACAAGATACTAGAATAATATGGATTAAGCCTGACTGTGCTTGAATACAATGCAATCATTACGTATATATCTTGCCTGCTACCATGCCAAATCATCTGCACCAGACTGCATTTATGTAATTGACATCTTAAAATAAATAAATTTCATTTTAGACTTCTGCAGCCATGCTGAATATTGAAAAAATTCTGGTCATGCAGGTAACTCCTAAGCACTTGCCAATTCAAGGCCTTTAGGTCTAATTAAAAGCAAAAGCAATATAATATGACCTCTTTTGTCCATGGCAAAACATTTTTTACTCCTTTCACTTTGTGATAGCTTTATAAACTAAATGTAGTATAAGAAAATACACATACATATTTTTAAGAGTCAACATTTAACTTCAATGCTTTAATTATAAAGCATTAATTTTATAAAAATTATGAAGGCCCTTTCTCAGGATGTCAAGTTCTTACTGGCATTTATAGTACTACAGAATTTCACATTAAATATGTTTCACATGAAATATGTTTCACTGTAAACGCAAAAATATTACTGGATCTTTAACATATACAGCTCATAACTGTACCTATTTTATGAATATTTTAAAGGAGATTTAGAGGAGATGGGCAATTTTTTAATCATAGGCATGTGACGTTTTTTTCCATGAGGAGATCAAGGCAATTTTAAATTATTCTCTGTGTATAAATTTAGGACACTGTACAATCCTCTTTTTTACAGGGAAAATTAAGACAATTGCAAAAAAAAATAGGTTAGAACATGAAATATACATCTATTTTGTAGTTCTCCATCCAATTACTGGTCTAATCTATCAGTACATAGTATGACATTTGTTGGAATAATACCCCAATGCAGACTGCATGTAAAAAGACCAAACTTTTCCTTTTGGCCTAATAAGGTTTATTATATTAAGAAGTTTTACAAGTGTAGGAGCATAAATTAAGTAAATGGCCAAACCTACTAAACAAGAAATGCTATAGTCATTATACCTGTCAGCAATTACTCTGGTACTTTCATGTTTAAAAAGTGTTAGGAGGACCGTGCTGTTGTTGCATTCTTCTGCCTTTATAGTTAACATTTCTTGCCAAATTGTAGAAAGGTCTTGAAGGTTGAAGATATAGTGGAATTTAGATGGTGTAGGCAGCATCTTTGTCTAAAGAAAAATATCACTAATATTCAAAATCAGTAACACTTACAAGGAATCAAGAGAAATTCATATTATAAATTTATAATTAATAACACCTACAAAATGTAAAAATAACAAAACTACTAGTTTTCACACACACTAATGTGGGCAAACTCTTTCTGAGAAGTCACCAGAAATGTCTCATTTATTCAGAAGTAGGATCTAGCACTAAAAGTAAAACCCAACTCTTATAATATGTAATTATTTCATATGTTGCTCTGGGCTTTATAAATTAAAAATTGTAACTTATGAAGAATTTCACTCCCTGTTCCTTAGATGTAGTGATTAGAGCTTTGGGTAACATGAATAAAACTATAGGAATGAATGGACTGATATTTCCATCCATGTGCCTTGTATACTGAAATCTGATTTTTCCAGACTGCATCTACAAAATTTTTTTAGCCCATCTTTCTCCTGTTTTTTCTCATTATAGATGTGTTCTTAAGGAATATGTGCCTAAATTACACTAATAGGCACTATGTTTAGACTGATTGTGATAAAACTTTCCCTGTATTTTACACCTTTGTCCACTGCCACAATATTCTGCCTGTTGGGACCAATTTTTTCACCATATCACATACTTCAGGGTTGAATTTTCTACATGAATGAAAGTTGTGAATTCTGTTGCATATCTTTTTTTTTTCATCTTGCTTCACATATCAGTAAGACAGTGGGAAGACAGAACACAGAATTTGAGAAATGAAGGATTAATCAAAATTCTATTATTTACTAGCAAGGTAGAACATCAACAAGCAGAACTAGTATTTTCATTATCTATAGCATAATTTTTATAAATATTGGACTTATTCAGACAGGCATTTAAGAATCTCCCTTCCAAAGGGTAGCTCTGGAAAGGACTGGAATCTGATTTCAGAGAGTTTGTCATGCACTGTCTGAAAATTTTGATTTCTTTGGATTTCTCGTAGCTAAGCTCAATTGTTTTATATTTGCAGTACAACTGCAGACCATATAGAGGTGACTTAGATTCCTTTTACAATGATTTCACAGATGTCTTGCAAGCTAAGTAATGCAATATTTAAATATTTTGGTGGCAATAGTCTTTTAAGACTGAGTTTTGAACTGAATAAGAAGCAGGGTGCAAGAGACTAAGAAGACATTGATATGTAATTGAAATATATCTTCAAAGTTCTACAGCTCTACAGTTATTCTAAAGGTACTTGGAACATAAACAGTGGCAGAAGAAACACCTTACACGATGGTAGCAAATGTTGTCCTTAGACAAATAATTTTTTAGTTTTACAAACATAAATGTCATCCTATATTAGTAATGTGGCATGTGCTGTTATAAAGATAGAAGTATTAATAGCATTTTTGAAACAGAAAACAGATGAAGTTTTGTCCAATGTTTTTGTCTCCTTTTTTCACAAGAGAAAATAATTAGCTGAATGTTCTAAGATAAACACATACAGAACATTGTTGGCATTAATGTGTCATTTTGGAGATACGTGATTAAGGTGAAAAAGAGAAGCCACTAAGAGAAAGTAAGTCATTACATTAAGAAATTAAGAACTTTGTAGCACATCTAACACATCCAAAATCAACCAATCTTTCAAACATCTTCAGAATGATGACTCAAAATTGAAAACTATTTTGAGTGTCTCTCTTTTATGTGTTTAGAAGCATTTCAACTGTTTTTCTGCTCCATCTCTCTCTTGGAAATCAGCAGAGTGAGCTATGTATTCAGGCAGTAGCTGAAACGAAAGAGGATATCTTCTGAGGTACTACAGGAATGTAGCAGAGACAAGGCACATTAAGATCCTTTCACAGACTCTCTGTACCAGAGACGAGGAAGTCTGGGTTTTGTTTCAGTAATGTTCTAGGGACCCATAACACACCAAGTCAAGGACACTGAGACAGAGGTACTGATTATTCAATTAATCTTGCATGCATGAAAGGACACCTGCCTTATTCTGTCTCACAGTTTCATATAAACCATGGCCAGAGACCTTATGCATAACAGAAAAGTTCAGCAGATATTCAATGAGTTTGGAATTAAAGAAAATAGACACATAAACCACTACTTTTCACCATTTTCTTAAGAACATTTACATTAGCTTCTTAAAAAAGACAGTTGATTTTGGGATGGAATTTCTAAGACCTGTTCCATGAGTAGACTTTTCAATCAAGAAATATTCCAGGATGATTACTTCATTCTGCTGCTGCACTGTCACCATAAATTCATTGTTTTGGAAAGGTAATGAAGCCAATTGAACTTAGAGGATCACATTCTAGCAAATTAGTAGTATTGAATAATGGCATAGTGGTATAAATAATCCTTTCAATTACTTGAAAAAACTATCTGTAGTATTTATTTCCATTTATGTGGATTTTTTAGCAATTATATTGGGAAAGGGAAATCTCTACAGATTTGCGATGCTAGAGAACTTAAAGACTGGGTTTCTGATGCTGTAGTCACTCCTGAGCTGAGGAAAAATAAAAGGATAAATTGAAATCTGATTTTTTATTTAACAAAAATTAAAATTACAGAAATTAAAGAATCAGGAAAATACTGAAGGACTATAACCAAAAATCTTCATTAATCTAAAATGAAAAGGAAAGGTCTTCAGCAAAAAATGGATTCTTAGAATTCCGTAATGAAAAAGCACATAGCAATCATCAATACACATATCTCTATGTGAGTGACTATATTCCATTCTGATTTGTAAAATTTTTTATGGAATTTTCTGAAGTGTTTAAGTGACTTACTTGGAGGAAAAAGATCCTTTAGACTTTATTTCTAAACCATTTCTTTTATCATCAGAATTAATTACATTTTAAATACTTAGCAAGGAAATGATACACAAGAATTGTTTAAAATCTATATTTTTACCTGAAACATAAAAGGTTCTGTGTCAGATGAAAAGTTTAAACATTTTGACAAATGCTCTTCTGGGTTGTATTGCTTCATACATGCCTTAATCACGACTGTCTTTCCAGTCCTCTGTTCTCCTATGAGCAAAACTGCCTGTAACAGATATTTCAACCACATAAGTAGTATCTAAGCTTACAATTAAATATGCATAACGGACCTATTTTAGAGAAACGGATACTTTCTGTGTCTACTTTTGAATGACACATTATTTTGGTAGGTTTTTCCTGTGTCACCATATGCAGTGACACAGTATATGTTTTTCATCTTACCCAGACTCTCCAAGAGAAATAATTTACAGAGTGAAAACAGAACGGATGAAGCCAGAATGCACTATAGGTTTTTCTTCCCTTTGCCTGACTTCTTCCACTTTCTAACCTGTTCACCGCAGCAGTCTTTTGTAGTGGATGACCCTAAGAAGGCTTTCTTTATAATGGAAAATAGTCTTTGACATCTAATTTGAATATAAAATTTCTACTATTTGCTTTTGCTACAGGTATTCCTTGTGACACATGCTTGTAATAGAAGGATAGTTCCTTATTGCCAGACTGTCCTTAAAGCAGCAATACAATGTAGATTAGATTCAGCTATATCCTCTCTCAAGCATATTACTAAAAGACATACTCTAAATGTCTGTAGAAATAAGATGTAACAATAATTACAAGTAAGAATAACAGATGCTGATCTGTGTACGGCAGTCTTAACTGACCCAGAAATATCTATGGCTTTGTGGCAAATGTTAGTAAAGGTAGGAAAACAATTAGACAGATAAAAGATTGTTGCTTTCCAACTCCAGAAACGGAGTCCTTTTTGAAGCTCCTCTTGTATTTCTGTATATTGTCTAAAATACCTGATCTAATCTTTCTCTAAACTGACTGTGTGAGGAGATACATAAAATTGATTTGCAGTGACTATTGTACTGCTGATGTCCACTTCAGACAGGCCAGTGAAACTGGCAGGAGTAGAAAAAATTTAAACAATGAAACTCTGAAGTGTGTTTTACATTCATCTCACAAAAGGAACTGAGAACTACTCCTACTTAATAGCAACAAAGGAAAATCATCTGTATTCAAAGCAGGCAGTTGTTCTTCAACTTTCCTCAAAAGAATACTATCCTTCTTTCAAGGAACACTGGTTCCTATCCACCCTGTCTCTTTTCCTAAACTGGAATTTTAAGTCTGTTACACAGGTTTCCCAGCCTAATTATGCTGACATAAACTGACTTAGCAAGAAAGGCCTTCTGAATCCTTAAAGAGTCCATGTGTCCTATGACAGCAATATTTTTTTAGAATTGGAACCAAACTTGACCTGTGTTTTCCTGAATTTCATTCACTGACTGTCATGGACATTCTTGATTCTTTCTCTAAACATCCATGGAGGAATATGAAACCAATGCATTTTTTTAAGAAAAACAAAAAGATGATCACTGTTGCATAGGGCCCTTAAATCACTTAGTCAGGATATCAAGATTTGACAAAGCAGATTTTGGACATGGATGTTCACAGAATGGTCAGGAAATCTTAGAATTTTTCCCAAAATTTGTTTCTTCTTACTGATTGTTTTACTACTGGAAACAAACTCCCTTTTGAAGAGAATATACTTATTCTGTCTGCTTATCACCGCAGTATTTATAACAGCAGCATTTAATGCTTCTATTATGGCACTTTAGGCTCTTACAACTCATACTATCTTAACTTATGCCTCACTATATATATTTCTATTTTTTAAAGCATTTTTACTCCTCTCTGATTGCTTATGCAAATTAAAGGTGCAAAAAATCTTGTTTCAACCTGACATTTTGATAGCAAGCATTTTATTTCTGCTTTCTCTTAACATTTTATATTAAAATATATAATACATAACTTATTTTCTGGTTAGTCTGTACACTGTCATTTCCCTAGGAAAAAATAAAGCAATAAATGTGTTCTCAAAGAAGACGTTATTTCCTGGTTTCCTTCTTATCTTGGTAAAATATGAATCTAAATCAGAAAGCTGCTAGAACCGAAGACTTAATATTTCCTTCCTTTCTCTTAAGCCGTCTATAGAAATCTCCCATTTCATCTGATGAAAGTGAGCTAGATAAGAACCCTGCTCTTTTTTCAGACATGTAAGAATCCTCCATGTTTTTTCTTTCTTGCTCAGATTTTCACCCTCCTTATGTTTTTGACAGGTGGTATTATCTTCATTATTATATCCACTCCATGAAAGGAATTTAATCAGTTTGCAAAAGGGAGTATGTATTTATTTATGAAAGTGACCACTGAAGTTGATAATGCAGGAGACCCTTGCAGGAGATTTTAAATGCTCAAGTACTGCTGACTGACTTGCTCCTTCTTTAAATTAACGCTCTCCAACAGATAGCCATAATGATACCACACGGTCTCATTCTTCACCCTGTTTTTGAACATCCAAGTGATCCATTAACCATGATAACACAGATTATAGTAATAAACTTGTAGAACCAACAAGTGAAGTCAGACCTGTAAATCACTTTGGTTTCATCTAGCACATGTAATCCAGCTGTAGCTGGAAAGAAAGTTCATGCTGCTGTGATCTGATACAGGGGAGGGGGGGGGAAAAAAAAAGGTATCTCTAACACAGTGCAAGATGTGATTAAATCAGATCTTACCAAATAAAAAATGCTTGAAAACAAAGCAAGCTGACTGCTTCCATGGAGGGGAACATTCTGCTCAACAGGGAAGCATAGACAAATCCCATTACACAATGAATGCTGAAACTTTTCAACTCAAGAGAGGAAGATATAAACCGTCCACCACAGAAACACTGAACTATGGAGGATGCCACCTTTCAGAAACTCTTCTTGGAAGATTTCAATGTTTGTTACTGTTATTGCAATGATGGCCAAATGAACGTACCTGGAAATACAATCAATATCTCCGAAGGCATTAATGTACAAAGATCAATTAAATGTTTCCAAATATAAAGGTTTTGCATGTTCTCATAATTTGTACCAGATACAGCAAAGACATTGCCACATTATGGCCTCTGGAACAGTTTCATCAAACCAAATCAACAGGTCCTCTGTCCAAATCCCAGAATTTTACAGAAAAAACAGGTTCCAGCACTGGCTCCTGCACTTGTAGTATTTCTAATCTTGGCTCCAGCTACTAAGAAGTCATTACAATGACTTATATTTCGCAAGCTGACACAGATTTCCACAGGAAGTTGTTAGGGTTATTAAGAGCATTGTACTAAAGCAAAATGTGTATTTTTCAGATCCTCCTCTGTTTGAAAATAGGCTTACATATGTTTTAATAACTACTGCTTAGTGTGGCCTGAGTCAAAAGACATGATACCAGATTGGTCCTATTGGTTAAAGCTGTATTGAGGAGTGTTCTCTCCTTTCCTGTAGTTGTGGCTACTACTGCTATTAACTACAGATTTCCTAATGAGAGAAAAAAAATAGACTAAATGCTAGGAAATTCCATTTTTAATGAACTGCCGTGTGAAACTTATTTTCCTTGTTTCCCTACTCAAGAAAGCACAAATCAGAAAAATTCATATGGTAGAAAGACTAAGAACAAGGTAACCATTTTAAATATTTTGCCCATGCACAGAAATAAGTAAAGAGGATTCAATCTAAGAAAATAAAAATAGAGCAATATGCAAATAATGATGCACCTGGCAAGCAATGACTAGACACAGAGAAAATGAAGAAACGTTGCAACTCCCAGTTTCTTTATGAGTAGATTTCTACTTGTTTCACATAGTAGGCATATACTTCAATGAGTAATCCTGTATTTACTTTCTGTTGTTTTGTAATTGTGTTATCAAAAACTGAGTTCTGGCATTGTCAACATTCGGAACCAGAATAGACACATAGTCTGGGATATCGTCTGTTGGATAAATGTATTCCTGAACTCTTTTACTCCAGTGCTCCCAGTCACCTGAAATGACAAAAACAGCAAAATATCTCACAATATTTTGATTGTGTTCAACAGATTGCTAGCATATACACAAAAAAATAATCCTAGATTTTACAAGTGAAGTACTACAAAGCACAAAAAGAGATAGATTTTCTCAAACCTAGCTAAAACACATCTAACAAAAGACATACATTGTTATGACCTCTAATTAGTGTATAATGCTACTAAATATACACACCTTTCTTAAATTTATATATAGATATCTAAATAAAAACCCCAGAAGAATGTTTACCTAGAAACTCATTCTCACAGTGAAATTATAGAACATGGGAATATGAATTGTGTATGTGTACTCTAAATCAACATTACTGGCAAAAAAAAAATCTGAATTTGGACACATGAGAAATAGATGTATTCATGTGAAAATATATTGCAAAAGAACAGTAGGTTCTTTGGGAAACTGGGGGGGCGTGAGTGTGTTATTTGAACTATAAATTTCTTGTGGAAAATATAACACTATTCAAAATACCAATATTCACAATATTCAAAATATCACACTATTTTCTCAGTTTTATAAACTGTAAGATTCATTACTGATTATGAGACATGGATAAATAATTATTATTAAATGGAATTAAAATTGGTATGTATTTGAAAATGAAAAATACTAGCTGTAAGGAAATAAAATATAAACTTAATACTAATTCAGACTAAACCACCCTAAGCATAAATAAACTGAAAATTGTAGGCTGGTTAAGTTAATAGAAAAGAATTCTGCAAGAATGAAATTAAAAACAAAAGAAATAAGAAAATGCTTCTGTAAGCACTCTATCCCTTCTCAGCTTCACAGAGGTGCTGCATACAGAATCTGTGTTACCATTATACTGTCATCAAAAATTTCTGCTCATATGACTGTACAATAAGGACTGAAAGAGTAATATTAAATTTAAAAAAAGCTATACTCAGTTTTAAAATGCCAGTATAAAAAAGAATGTTAGTATTTTTTCTTACCATAATCAGTAACATAAAATTCATACATCATTTGATTGGTGCCAGGGGAGATTTCTGGCAATTCTAATTTGTTATCACGAGCTCTAATGAAGGCTTCAAGTTTATCTCTACTGTTCAACTCCAGAAGGGCACCTAAACTCCACATTATTGCGAAGCAGAACAATTTATGCAGATGAAGTATAGTTGATAAACCACCTTCTTCTTTTGATGGAATCAAACCCTCCAGAAGATTAATAGACTGAAAATATTTTAAAATATCATGCATTAAGAAAATATTACATAAATGCTTTTCATTTTTATACATATGTGTATGTGCATTATTTCTATGTGTTCAAATTTTAAATCATAATTTGAAAACCGATACAGGTTACCAAAGAATAACATAAAATTCAGAACTACAAATACAAGAAAACAGATTAAAGACATCTATATAAAGCTGGTAAAATTTTCACAAATCCTGAAGTAATTTGATCATCAACTATCCTTTTAAATTATGCCTACAGAATAAATGTCATTTAAGAGCTAGGGCAACAAACGGCTTTCTAAGGGATTTTATAATATGTAGTGGGATATTCAGAACGTCAAAAATAGGTGGAGCCTAGCCATTTCTTTACGTTTTTAAGCATGGAAGAATTTTCAGCATCTTTCTAATGTATTTATCTTAATTATGGTCCATTAATGCATCTATCACATTAACTTCTATTTCGTGTTAAAAAAAAAATTAAACTATCCTGTTTTATGATTGCTTCACTATGTTTCTAAGGAACTGTATTCCAGATTCCAGAAATCTAGTAACTTGCTATCTACGATTCTGAGATATCACTCATAAAGACTTTTGACTGTCTCAGATAAGGCCACTCATATTCCCTTTCTATACAAGGCAGCGTCAAGCACATTGTTTCAAAATATGCCTTTTTAACAGTGAAGTAAATTTTCAGTCAGCTCTTGGTATTAGTATTTTTTATGCTGTCATGGATCTCATACCTGTAATGGAAAGTAATGCAGTACTATATAATATTAATGCAGCCTAAAGGACCTAAATAAGTAAAATACTTCTGATTACTTTAAAAATAATTTTTAAAAATGATCAATCAGTATCAATTACACATGATAATGTTAAAATGATGTCACTTCTTTTCCTGGAAAGACAATTGATTTATCTAATTATTTCCAGGACAGGCTGTGTCCCAGTTTATCTGTACAAAATCTTCTTGTTCCTTCAAATACAATCTCGAGTTCAAAATTTCACATGATGCACTGGGTCTTAGCAATATTCTGTAACACGTTTTTGGAGAAAGAAAACAGAAAACATTAAACTGACTTATAAAAACACATCAATGTTGGCAACAAATGACATGACAACTTCAGCTTGCCCAGTATCTTATCTGCAATAGTGACCAACCATGGACACTTAGAGAAGGGTAAAAACAAAGAAAATATTCTCTTGGCTTGTCATGGTACTTACTGCTGGTACCTTCTTCAGCTTGGGGCTTTCTTAACCAAATACACCTTTTCTGGGTTTAGTAATCATCTATGGATCTTTCCACCCTGAAAATATCAAGACTGATCTTGAACCTACATAAACTTTTATCATCTATAACACCCTTTGGCAAGATGTTCCATAGGCCTCCTATTTATGGCTTTGAACAGTTTGGTTTGTCCCCTTTGTGAACCCATTCACGCTTATCTTCACTGAATTTCATTTGCCATTTTATTACCTATTTATTCAGTCTCATAAAGTCTGCCTATAGTTCTTCATGGTTAGCTGTTTCGTCCTTAGTGCCCTGAATAATTTAATATCATCAGTAAACTTCTTCACCTAAAACTTTTCCAAATTGTTTATGAACACTTGGAACAGCATTGGTCCCAGCAAAGGTACCTCAGAATCAGTGGCAACCTCTGTCCTTCCTAAGAGCCGATACTCCAATCACACATTTCCTATCTTCTAATCAGTATCTAGAAATGATCCCCTCATCTTCTGCTATGACTGCTTAGCTTTCATGTAAATCCCTGGTAAAGGACTTTGTCAAACACCTTTGTTCCTTCATGCAGACTGTATCAATCAGTCTCCTTTAGCGACAAGTTTAATGGCTCTTCCAATAGGCTTGTAAAGCAGCATAACTCTAAACAAATCTGTGTTGAATCTCCTAAAATAAATTATATTTGTCCACCTAATGAGGTGTGCCAGAGGATGGTAAACAGCCAAAAGAAAAGCATACAAGCAAAAACAGCAGAAAAAAGATCATCCAGGAACAATACTAGAATATACACAGTTAGAAAGGCAGTAGAAATTACAAGGAGGAAAGCAAAGATGACATCACTTTTTACACAAAACCCTTATGAAGTTGTTATAGATTAAAAACCAGCTTAAATTGCAAATGCTAACAAATGGCAGATAATTTGGTACATGTGCATGTGTGGGTGAACATCCAAAACTGAATTTTAGAACTCAAGCACAAGTCTGCTATCTGCTAGATGCAGCTGGTGTGAGATGGTTGTACATTTTGAAAACACCTGAACTAAACAAAAGCGGCATGTCCTGAGTCACACAATTAATAGAGAGACATAAGACACAACCACCTATAAAGAGGCTGATAAGATACAGTGCTTCTGCACATAGACCATTTATGGCAAAACTGGGATCTTAAGGTTCTGGAAAGAAGAGATGGTGCAGAAAAGAAGGGTCCCCAAAAGAAATGATCTTGGAAAAAAGGAGACCAGAAAGAAGGAGATGAAGATCCCGGTTGGAGGCAATATCCTGGAAACAGAGGAAGATCCTGGAGATCAGAAAGATTCATGTAGACAAATGCTGGATGATGCCAAGAAACCTTGTCAAGTAATGCCCAATCCTGGTAGCTGCAAGCAGCTGCACACAGAGAAATCAACATGACTTTTTGCCCTACTTTCCCACACCAATAATGAAACCCTTGCTGAGAAGAAAAATCAAGACTAAGTGAATGTAATACTGGAGGAGGGAAGCAAGTGAGGAAGCGAATCTGTGAAATGATCAAGTAGGGTAAGAGCCCTGGTCTCACTGGTTCTCAGATGAACCTCAGCATGGAGATCCACTAAAGGTTATTTACTCTGTTGCACCTTCAACAGAAACTTAATGGAGATTTTCATTCATGGGAAGAAACATTCCATACAGATTAAATCAGGGAAATATTTCCCTGACCATGCAATATGAGTAGAACAGTGACTTACTCATACTTCCTAACAAGCCCTGATCAAAAATAACATAGAAACTTCTAGTCCCACAAAAAGTCTTCCATGAAGACATCAATTCAGTCAGAGGTTTCACAGAAAACAAATGTAGAAGAAAAAAATATTATCTCTCCCTAAAAATTTTGTGCATAGTACGTCCACCTTATTTATCATCATAAATTGGAATGTTAGATAGCTTCTGTTGGTGGACTTCAATTCTGTAGATAGCCTAATTCCATTTGATACTGCACAGTAAATCTTTGCAGCATTTACCATAGCTAATAATTTGCAGCAAAATATTTCAAACTGTTGAATATCTGAATATTTGTGTTTCACCCTTGAGTAATGGTTCACAACTTGTGTAAAATTACATGCACTGCCTTGCAAAAAGGTTTGTGCAGATTATCCATTCAGTTGTGGGACCTAACTTTGATCTATATGTACTGCAAGTCTTTTTCACTAATAGTCATTATAAGAAAGGGAACAATGTATCTCAGATACCATCCATTAAAACTTCATGATATAAGAAGGACAGTTCTGTCATAATGACTACACATTCTAGGACTGGTGCATAGAGCAGAATGGTTCCCTTTGCCACAGGAGGCCAAAAGTGGGCATCCAGTGTTATATTTACCAGTTTAGATACATCCTGTGTCAACAAATGAAAGGATCTGGTAAATTTTTGCATAGGTTTTGAGAAGACCTGCTGTCACCACAGTATAAGGAGGGTGGTTTATTCCAGAATCATCATACTTGTCTTCTGTAAATAACCTTGAAGAGCTCTTTTTATATATCCATGTAAAGTACCCATTAGATAAAACATACATCCTTGAAAAATCTCTTTCCTATGTCTCCTGCTCGAAGTGAATGTTCTTTATTTTTTCCTACAGTGTCTTTCTCACTAATACTGTTAAAGTATTTCAAGCTATGGTAGCAAAGTGTACCGGTGTCTCAGTCCTCTTAGTGAGCACAGAGAATTCTGGAGGTTTGGCCAAACTTCTTAGTGTACATAATGAACTGCAATACAGCAATGAACTATGAACACTTTCAATAATCTTAAAGTAAAACTGCAGGCATACAATTAATGAATAATCAGATTATTTATGTGTGCCAGTAGTTTAGTCTAATTCTATAGCAACAGCATCACTTAATAAAATCGGTTATTTTCACCTTGCCATTTAATTAAGTTGTATATAGTATAATTTGTCACTTCTTTGGACTTCTTACTACATTTACCATTGTTAGGAAAATTCCAAACTCTGGATTTAAATTTACACAGTTACCATCAGAAAAAATGAACTGCTTTTTTCTTTCTTTTCTTGCTGTTAAAATAATATAGATTTGTTGTGCTGCTACTGATAAGACAGGCAACTCAATTCGGTTGAATTCATCAAAACATCCCCAAAATCCGGACTGTGCAAGACCTAAAACAGGGACAGAAAATTTTATTATCTATCTGAACTAGATGACATTTCCTTTAAATAACTAAATAAGACTGTTTTTGTTTATTGCCCTGTGGCCAAGGCCTATTGTCTTCCAATCCACCTGACTACTTCCATATCAGTCTGAATTAAAATAAGTTGATTTATACAAAATGCTTAAAAGTGAATCAAAATCAGAAAAAAATCTTTTGACATCTTATGACATTTGGCAGATCTTTTGTCAAGATATTTCTGTGAATGTAGCCTTTTATTGTAAAGCAGCAATTAAATTATTTGCAAACTGCTGTATTGTTTATCTAAAAAAGTAGAAATAAGTGACTTAGAGTTACAAAGAACTAGCCCTAAATGTTACAACAAAAAAATCTGAAGTTCTTTATTTTCATTTGGGTTTTTCAGCTTTCACAATGCTTTTAAATCACTTTTTTGTCACCTCTTATAAAGTATAAAGGTTAAACATTGAAACTATTTTTGCACTAAGGGTTTAAATAAAACTCTGAATCTCACAGGACAGAAAATATTAATCTTAGAGTATATACCTCTATGCATAAGCATTGCCATTTTAACTCCACACTAAACCACAAGTTTGTCATGTACAGGATATTAATAACACACACAGTGCGGACAATGCTCTGTATGAACTTGGCTATGAAAGAAAAAGAGGAAGACAGAGAAAGAAAACTGAATGAAAAGAGAAATCTAGAAGCACTACATTAATAACAATAACATTTTCACAAAGGATTAATTTCACAGTTGCCTAATTTCAGTTTGGAAAAGTAACATGTATTTAGTAGCAACTAAGAGAATTGTTGTTCCTTTAGCAATATTTTGTGAGAAAATTTGTAGCAGCATTTTTTTTCCGAATGATATTAAAGTACAACTAGGAAGTAGTTTTCTTTCCTGTATACTGAAAGACAGTTATTTAAAAGAGAAAAATTTATACAGTTCCTTCCAGGTATATTATTATTACACAGTTAAGTCAATCACTTTAAAGGGATTCTGTCATGTACTCAGATTTTTTTAAATTTTAATAGCTTGACTTTCAAAGGGGCACTATGTTTATAAAAATATTTGCTTGCTAAAAAAAAATAGTTTTTAAACAAAATTAATAGTTTCATCCCTTGCTTCTCAATACATAAAATACCATAACTTTGCAAAATGAGCTGGCAGAAACATCATGAAGTTCAAGTCCTTTATCTGGAACAGAATATCTTCATGCAGCAGTACAGGCTCAGTGCTGACTGGCTACAAAGCAGTTTTGCAGAAAATGACCTCGTGTCCTGCTTAACAACTGATTGAGCATGAATCAGAATTATGCCCTCGTAGCAAAGGAAGCCAGTTGCATATTGGGCAAGAGTGGAGCCAGCAGGTTGAACAAAACCATTGTCTCTGCTCCGCACATCTGATATAGCAGCTGGAGTACTGTGTCCAGTCTGAGGCTTACCAATAGAGAAGAGACATTGATATATTGCATGAGGCCAGCAGATGGTTGCCATGATGGTCAGCGGCTGGAGGACGTAACACAGAGGGAGAGGGTGAGAGAACACAGTTTGCTGAGCCTGAAGAAAAAGCTAAGGGGAAAGTCTGTTACTAATACAAGGTACTGAGACATTGGAGACAGGCTCTTCTCAGAAGGGTAGTGGAAGAAGAAAGAATGGACACGGGTTTCAATGTGAGCAATTCTGAGTCAATGAAAGTATAAAAAAATGTTACCATGAGGATGGTCAAACACTTGAACAGGGGTCCAGAGGTGTTGTGGAACATCCATCCCTGGAGATACTCAAAACCCAACATGAATAAGGTCCTGAGCAACCTGCTCTTCAAGGCAAAGTTTGGGGTAGAATTTAACATTTTGCATCAAAATTTCTTGATTGTTGAGGGCAGTACAGTTCACTGCAGAAATGTACTGAACTTTCCATGTTGTCACAGCAGCAGTTCTACATCTTCTGGAGAAATAAAGGGGTTCAAAAAGCTGTACAGACACATACTCCAAATAAGTAGCAAAGTGTATGATTGTAAGTTGGGAGTTGTTTTTGGTTCTTGAGGGGAACTTTTTGCAAGCGAGGTAGCTTTTGGCCTTCTATTTTCTCAGTTTGTCAAAAGCGACATCTCAAGAAAGGACTAAATGGAGGAAGAGTTTTGACAAAAAAAGACGCCATGAAGAAAAAAGAAAAATACTTCTCATTGTTAACCCACATTTGAAACAAAATTAATGGTCATTTGCTTGCCTGGCTACAGAAGAATGACAAGTCAGTGAATACAGCTCGGACTTTGTCAACATCTAGATTATTTTGAAAAAATCTAAACTGTTTCCCATTACAAATAAGATGACAGACACTGACTGGTTGTCTTAGACTTTCAAAGACATTGGTAGCCACAAAATCTTTATAGAATTCCTTATTACAGAATTTCAAATGTTTGATCTAATCTTCTCATCGGTATAGACATACTGCTAAACTATACATTACTACATAGCCTCAAAATTACTCATTTCTGTTACTAAATTTTTTTTTTTTTTAAGACTGGGCAGTGATAAACCTTTTCAAGGAATTACTAAGTGTATAAAATAGTGAGACTCTATATTACCTTTTCTCAAAGAGCATGACTAAGCAAATGTATGAGAAGATTTTCATGAACAACCTAGCCTACATAGGACTTAATTCAGAATGCACATCTTTGAAGATATATGTTAAATAAACACACATATATTAAAAGTATTCATTACGTATAATTGTTTTTCTAACCTGTCTGTAAGAGGTGTTATAACCAGACGATCAGTGCAACCCAGAAATTCATTTTGGTAAATGAAACCAACATCTGTAATGGATACCAACACTTGATAAAAATCCTCTTTAGAGTAGAATCTAGACTGCTTTAACCATTCAAAATCAGTCAGTGATTTGATGTGCATTTTTAACTTAAAAGAAATTAAATAAATATATATGTTATAACTGAGCATCCAAGTTTATTGACTTTGATAACTATGATAAAATGCTTACTTGTATGAGTATAATGAGGGATTACTCAGGCTGAAGTTCATATGTAAGTAAACTGAAAAACATACAAGCATAGTATACATCTGAACATATTATGTGAAACTGATTAAAAAATGTCTTGATCACTCAACCTGATCATCACAACATCTGTGTTAATGAAAAAAATCTTAAATTGCTTTGGTAGTGCAGCTCGGCCTCCATGTGAAATTAGCAAACAATACATTGTTAAATCCACCAAAACCATTGGAACAAAGGACATGATGAAGGAAGGATCTGACTGAGGCATGGAAGGAAAATTGTGTAGAATCTACTAAACCTGTGTTATCAACAGTATAATATGTGAGAGATGTAGTGTTGAGGCATAGCATTCCTCTAAGAATAAAGGAATGTAAATAATTTAGCACAGTCTAACAAGTTCACATATAGAACTGGCATTATCTGTTGATTTTAGTAGGCTTTTTTGTTTGTTTGTCTTCTATGTATTCTCCTTAGGAACCAGCAAGAGAATCCCAGTAGCCTGATCTCCAGAGGAGTAGGAAACACAAAAAGAAGAAACTTGGAGATATGGAAGATGTCGCTATCACTGCAGTAACCCTAGAATGAGTGGAGCTAAAATGCACCCTAGTGCCAACTACTGATATTCTGTAACAAGCCATGAGGAAATTATCTATCATCATAAAGCTACAACACCCTCAGCACACTCCACTTCTTTAGTTATGCAAGTAAGAGTAATACAACAGTTTTTCAAACAAAGGACATACTAAAGGTTTTTGTCAATCAAAACAACTCTGTAGGAAGAAATGGAAAATTGATATATTCTAAAAGAGTGCACAAATTTTGAGCACATATTTAGACGAAAGGACTGACGGATTTTGTTCTCATTTAAGCAAAAGTGTACTGTTTTTACTATGGTGAGATTATGGACATCTCTGTCTTACAAACACATGCATACATATGTGTAACTACCCTATCACATACAAATAAAATTATTATGACAGAAAATGCATTTAATTGTCAGAAACAAAAATTTATACTTTACCAAATCATCAAAAATATCACGCTGATGCACATGAATGGTAATAAGTGTTTCAAATTTCACTCTGTCAAACTTGGAAAGATGTTGCGTGGTCTGGCTAATGAACATGTTAAGAATCTCCATAAATCTCCCATTGGTTACTTGCACGATTTTTCTGTCCTCTTTAGCATTCTGTAGAGCTGTTTCTGAATCAGGTGTCCACAACATCTGAATGCCCAGTAATCCAACCTATGAATTTAATATGTGAAAAAAATACTAAAGAATCACTTCTTGAACACTAGCCTTATTATAGAAGCCTTAGGTGTAACGGGAACAATAAATGGTGTAGAGAGTCCCAAATTATCACTACATCCAACATGATGCTATCTCACCAGGATACCATGCCTGAGTTAATTGGCTCTGCTGTGGTACTGAAAACTCCTGAGAAAACATTTAAAAACTGTTATAAAAATTTGTCACATACCAAGCTACACACAAATTAAGGATGATTCTCAGTTTCACTTACAATCCGTTAGTGTACTCCAGTATCACAAACATAAACAGGTCTTAAATTGTGTCCTTCTGAAAATTTCCCATTGCCAATTTGTAGCTAATTAAAGAACATAAAAAAGAAAAAGCTGTGCATTTCTACTGAAAGTGGGATGGATTGCTATGTTTCTAACATGCTGTCATGACTAGAGTACAGCCTATAGCATATTGAACTAGAAGTTATTTTGCTTCCAAATATAGAGAATCATAGGACATTGGGTGTACACTACAGCCTTGGATTGATTTTGATTCACAATATCAGGCACATCTATGGCAAAACAAGATAGACGAGACTGTATCAATACCTTTTTTCCCCAAATTTCTGTGAAGCACCAAGACCTAAAAATTTGACTGACCCACTCTTTCTACTTTTCTATCTTCCTATACCTGCAGTGAGTTCATGGTTACAGAGATTGTGTAGGAGAAGATATTTCACCATTTTAGAACCATTAGGCTATCATCAGTAGAGTCTAAAACAAACTTATTTTGCCCAGTTTCTTCTCTGTCCTACAACATAGCTTGTCTTTCGCTGTACTTTATATAACTTGGTCAAAGACCATTTCCTTCTCATCCCCCCCCCCCAAATCCTTCTTTGAACATAGAATCATTTGGATTATCATGGGAAACAAGATCTTTGGAGATGGTAATAAAGCAACTTCAAAATGTCTGACATGCAAATAAGACAGACAGTACTTATCTGTTTAAAGTAGTAGACTTTTAAAAGTAAATACTGCTGAAATAACACATAATTATGTCATACATACAGCTTTAAGATAGTTCTACTAAAAATTTATGTCGATTTTTTTGTAATTATCAATTTGTTGCCCAGTTTTAATATTTGCAGAATATCTGTTTTAAAAATTATACCTAGCACTGTACTAATTAGCAAATTACAGAGTCAGAATTTGTATAGGATAGTAAAACATTCATTACTTGTTAATGAAATTTATGAGTTATCAGTAAGATGGAGGAGTCTGTAGGCAAACTAGAATCCCTCAAGACAGGCTTCTAGGAATGCATTATCTTAGTGACAAATATATGAACTATGAGGTAAATCTTGTAAATGATGAGATAAATAATCATAATCACAGCTCTTGCAATCTTAAATTATGAGAGGGAAATCAGTCTGCACATGAAATTTTATTTGCTTCTGAAAGGGTTTCAATAATAACCACAGAAAATATAAACTCTCTATTCTCCAAGAGAAGAAAAAAGTAATTTTAAAGTAGATTACATGAAAAATATTATGCTATATATAGGGTACCAAAATTAAAGTAATTAGGGATTGCCTTCTATTGAGTAGATCCATATCCTTCTTTACTCTATGAAAACTTCCTCATACAGACAATCCCATATGCTATTTACACCCCCCACACAACCCAGACTGTACACACAAATCCACATCCTGTAATCTCACCTGTGCTGGGAACTGATTAAGAAAATTCAGCAACTGATATGCTGGGTCACTAATTTGGTACTATGCTGCCCTAATTACGCCATGCAATGAAATCTGCTGCACACGCAACAGATCCTGCAACCAAAGTTCTACTGGTCCTTTTGCAATCACTGGAGTGTCCAACCGAACAATTCATAAAAGTAAAAACAGAACATGGTTACTAAACTTCTGTTCAAGAATGTTAGTTACGAAATAGTTACTAAATTTTGATTCAAGATAACTACAGATTTAATTTCAATAAACATACTAGAAATTTATTTAATGAAGATATAGTTTTGTTACACCTATTCTTGAAATGTTCATTTGTAATTAACAATAATTCAATTTAATAGATACTTTTATGTTCATTAATAAAATGATTTATCTATTAACTACACTTCTGAAAAAAAAGAATTCAAATAATTACCAGAATTTTTTCTCCTTCTCTTGATACGACTCCCATTATGTGATCATAATCCTTTGGGTGGAAGTCTGCTTCATTTATATTGTCAGATATAGAAGGCAGATGTGGCTCTAAGGACAATTCAGAAGTCATTCAATGTAAATATATAACATTAGCAAAGGGAAAAAAATCTCAAGCAAGGTTATCCTGCAAAGGTTTATCTGAACATACAGATGAATTTCAGGCCATCTGTAGGTAATAATTACAGAAATGTTTGAATACAATTTTGTCTTCTTTTGCTGTTTTTTTACAGTTTCCAGAGGTGATCTAGGATTACAGAGATCAGCTATTGTGTGATACCAGCTATCTTCTTTCAATCAACCCTCAGTAACAATCCACACGTGTTGGACTACAAACCTTCAGTAACAGTCCAGACTAGCCGGATGAATTCTGCAATATGCAAAACAGGAAAGTCTCACAGGGTCCATTCTGTTAGTTTAGTTGTGAAAGGAACCACGAGCAAATCACTTGATGGGATCATATTCTAGTGTTCTGAATTCTGAAGATTTTTTTAAATTACTGATATCCATTTCATAAAATTTCCTAAAAAGCAAGAAATGAAAATTTTTCTCATCCAAAGTTTATAAGAAGAAAATGGTTACATTTTAGTTTATTAAATGCTTTTCCATATTCCAATTTTTTTTTGTTATAAGAAGAAAAAAATCACTAAGGTTGTACCTGAATTGTATGTGAATCTCTTGCTTGTCCAAGAATTTCAAGAAGGGCAGGATCAGAAACAAAAAAAATTCTAGGAAACAGAAGTCTTTTCTTCTCCAAGTATCTTTAAAATTCAACAAGATTTTTATTAAAATATTGCAGGTCTTCAATTTCTTATACATGAAAGTGAAAGTAAGACTGAAATACCATTAATATTTCATATAAACAATTTATAAAATAATAATGCATTAAAAAACAAACAATTCATACCCTGTAACTGATTTCTGACACAATTCCAACTGTTCATGTAAATGTGGGAGAAGTTGCTCCATAGTCTCATCTCTGACACAGCAGTTAATTACATTTGGGTTTTCACAAGCTCGTTGCATTATTCTTATCCATGATTTGTCAATATTCTGAAAATGCTTTGTTTCCTGTATATAGAAAAAACATAAGTACTTTCACAGCATAATCTGTGGGAAATTATTATACAGATAGCTTTTAATACAGAATAATAGGCAAGCATTGTAAAGTTTACCTGGGGTAAATGTTTTGTGATATCTCCCCCTACAAAAACGTCTTCAAGATAAATCCAGAGGTTCTGCACAACCAACCATTCTTCAGTTATCTCTGTAGAGCTGCTTAGTTTATAAATCCAGACCTGAATTTCTTTTTTAAATGGTGCATTGTATCTAAAAAAGCATGAGAAGCAGAAATTATTTAATTCTAAATAAAACTATTAAAAAAGAAGTACTTACAATAGTGAAAAAAACTCTAACAACACTTGTTTCACTTAGAACAAGAAGAATCTCCTGGAAAGTTTCTACCAGCTTGATTACATTCAGATATATTGAGACAATAGTTTGCTACTAATGCATGAAAGTCTTCCACTCGAGGAAGTTTTTCATTAGACATTGTAACATTCTTTTTCATTAAAAATAATCTTCCATTCAAATTTCCTGCTATTTTAGCCTAATAACAGTATAGTTGCTATCTCAGTGTGTTTCCAAAAATACCATACACAACAAATTCAAAAGTACCTATTGGTCAGTAAAGAGCCAAGAATCATTAAACTGTCCTCCATCAACATTATAATTTCTGATGATTCATTTCCTTTTAACAGTAACTCTCCTCTCCCTTTGAACGATGAAAAGCTCAGAATTTGGCTTCCCCAAATTTCAGCTATTTGAGATAGTTTGGCTTCTATATCCTTTTCCTTTGTAGCAGATATTCATATATCCTACAAAGAAGGAATAATTTTTTAGAATCTTTAGTCTTCAGAAATAAAATATTTCCTAATATTACACATTTAGTAATAGAATATTTTAAAACAATACATGAAATTTTATAAAATGGTACAGAAATGTGTCACAAAAATGCAGAGACCAAACTACTAATTTTACTCACGCCAATTACATATATGGATAACTGAAAAATGCACACTTGGAAATACATGGATATACCATTTCTGTGGCTTCACATTTTGTTATTTCTGCCTAACAAGATTTCTGAATCACCATTTCTACAAGGTTTATGGCAGTGATGTAGACTCGTCACCAGATGAACTCTCAATCTTATCACATTTTAATTTATAGAACCACAGAATCTAAGAATAGTTCAAGTTGGAAAGTTCATCAAGTCCAACATTTTATTCAAATCAGAGACTAATTAAAAATTATATGCTTCCATATCAATCATATATGAATATAAAAATATAAAAATAGATTTTGCATGCATATTTACCCTGTAAAACTTGCAAACTCCATTGAGAGTTTTTTCAGGTTAGGTGGGGGATCTTTTGAAGTGGTGGTTCGGAAGAAGACAAAAAGATCAAGAAAAGTAGTTATGTTAAATGATAACATGAGTGGAATGTTCCTCTAAAATTTCTGATTTCTTTACATATCTTTAAAGCAACATTAAAAAATTAGGTAACCATGCTCATTTGAAGATTTGTTTTGTTTTTCCCTGTTTAAAAAGGGCTAAGAAAATCAAACAAAATAGGGCTAGGAAGAATGTGATGATATTATCTATAAATAAGTGTCCAGATTCTAAAATTTCTCCACCAGCTGCTACCTCTATCCTTGTTCTTATGGATAAGAACTTCTAAATAAAATAGAACGATTTTAAACCACACTATTTTAAAATAGTGTGGTGTGATTCAGAGTCAAGGACTTTAATGAAGTAAAAAAATTTTTTAAAAAGGTAACCATTTCAGAAGTCATCATGTTATTTTTGCTGACAGTAAAAAATCAATGAGGGAAAAAATGCATGTACCTACCTCAATATCTTCTTTAAGAATTGGTGCTTCCATGATGTGTCGAAGGCAAAAGGAATCAGATTCTATATCAAATTGATGTCCTGTTGTTTCAGCAATACAATTCCAGTGTCTTTGCTTCATCGCTTTGTCAGTCATCATTTCCAACAATGGACAAGACTCACTAAAATCATCAATTTTTTTCTTGAGATCTAAAAACGCTTGCCAGTGTAGTCTACAGCACCTGCAGTTGAGTTAAATTGATACAGTAGTAAATGCTCCTTTTGTCAAAATAGGAATTTTTTAAACATTTTTAAAATAGGGAGATATGAAGTAGCTTGTATTGAGGTCAACATTTTCTATGTAAAATGTAATTTGTCTCAAACAGTCTACCGTTTTAGAAAAAACTGTGCAAATGCCCTACTAACAAATCATAATATTTAACAGTTTTAACCACTGTTATATTCTTTGCAAATAAACAGAAATATTGTAGTTTGCATTAAAACATAGCTTATCTGCTGCTTATCATCACAAACTCTCTATTGGCAAACAAAAAACCAAAGCAAAATTAGTTAAATTTCACATATGTAATCCTTGTATAAATATAATATTTACTTCAATTTACAATACCAGTAATACACGTCATGTATTAACATATCACTTCAGAGACAGATGTGAAAATTAGAAAGATATGACCACCTTCTCCTCCACTTTTGGTTAGTGGTCCTGAAACTATTCACCAAGAAAATGAAAAATATACACTTCTAATGTGGAAAACCCCAGCAAAACAGTTAAATGAATATTCATCTCTTTGCCCACACTTTTACAGAGCTTACACTCTAAGAATTAAGCAGTTGACCCACCACAGGAATGTCCTAATGTGAACGATAAAGTATATTCTTAGCAGGAAAAGTAATAAAGGTTGGATCATATTTCCCTTGGTTTTGCATCCTTTGTCACTTATCTGTCTACCTCCCACTGACATAACTTCATATTTTCTGTAATCAGGTACAATACAGCAGTCTGTGTCTGCTTTAGAGCTATGCTGATGCTGTGCGGTTGCCAGTACGTTCATGTTGATTAACTCTCTGGTTGCTGTCAAACAGAACGTTTAATATCTGTCTGCCTTTGCCTGAAGGGGAAAAGCATTTTGTGTCTGGTTTTGGACTACTGTGAAGTTTTGACTTTTATTAAACTCACAGGCACTTAAGGTTATTTTGTGAAAAATGTGTCTTGTTGAAAGTTGGAACTAGCCAACAGAATAAAGAAAAAAAAAAGTGTTGAAGAATGCTGAAAAGAGGAGCACAAACAAGATCAGGCAGTGACATCATAGTCACCTTTTTCCTTAGAAAACCAGGCAAAACATCCGAGTATTTTACAAATTTCTCTGTTTGCAGCCATTGTTTTCATTCACTAGTAAAGAGTTAATGTCAGGTTCAGTGCTTTGGGACACAGGAATCAGACATAGCAGAGAGGCAGATTTTGAATGACACAATTCAGGTTCCAGAGCTGGTCGCCCTGTTATCCTTCTTGGGTCTTGTGAACCAGGAGATAGCATTTTACAAAAAGACAAGATACTGACAATTGGGCATCTCTCAATATCTTGCTTCTTTGAGAGACTCTTAATCCCTGAAATTCTATCAGCACATGTAACCTCAAATGTGGGAAAGAAAAATATTCTTTGGCACATATTTCCTTGAAATGTTATTAGCCTCTGGTTAATGTTTTCTACTTAGAAATTCAGAAATAATGCAAATCTAAGACACAACCTTCAGCTCCAACTGTCAAAAGTGCAATTTCAAAACCACATGAATTCTTTACTTAGCAATTTTATGCCATATAATGGCACAATTGATATGTCAGCTAACCTTCAGGAAAACATACGTTTACTAGACTACCATGAAACCCTGGACTAGAAGTTAATAATAAAAAAAAAAATCAAGTAAAAAATCTATATTCTTTAGTACAGATCCACTCCCCCTAGTTTAGGCAGGTTATGCTACTGGTTTTGGGTTACCTGAACCCATTAATGTGATAAGCTATGAAAAACTGCCAAACTAACACCAAGAGGTAAGATATATTGACTAAATGAAGAACAGAAGGAAGTGATAGGTAAATAGGTGGGACAAGTACTTAACAGCCTAATAAAGAACTATTTATACTGAAGTTTTTTCTCTACACTGCAGTTACAAAGGTAAGTGCCCTTTTATACGTTTCTATTTGAATTACCATAAATGAATGTCATTTTCAGAGCGTAATATACTTTAGCTCTTGTGGAGCTCTGTATTTCAGAAATCAGACTTTAACATTATCTAAGATAGATTTAAAGCTGTTTTAATAGGCCTGCCCTGCTCTATAACTGTCGTATAGATACACTCTAAAATACCAAAGACTGGCACAAGTACAAACATATCAATTAGTCATGCCTTTATTTTGGAAATTAATAATCAAAGATTCTGAAATATTGTTGTAATAGGAAGACTGGGGTTGCAAAGAAAGTGCCAAGAAAGATGGAGTTGTTTCAGGATGGAGCTTGCCAAGCTTATAACAGGACTCGATTAGGTCACAGGAGAGCTAGGGACTGCACGCAATGCAGTTATTCTGTTGTAAAATAATCCTTGTCCTAGTCTTCTATATTATATCTCTTCCCAAAATAATATAGGTATTTTTGAAAATATTAAAAATACAGTTAAATTTAAAGGTTAGAAAATACTTCTGAATCAAACTAATTATATCTAATCCTCTCAACAGGGTCAAAACCATTTTAAGCTTTCAGCATTCCTACAACATTTGTAACTTTTTTTACAAAGCCTCACGATTTAAGACACTCTGCATTGTTAATGTATTTGAAATATCAGAAATGTTTTTTAAAAAGGATAAAATGTTCTAAAAGACTCAGAAATGTTCTTCTTATATTCAGGACTTAAAATCAGTGGGCTAATCCTCCTAGTTGAAGAATTTACCTTTTAAAAATAAACTTTCATCTCTCCTAACATCTTGGATTAGCTAAGGATCAACTCTTCAACTGATTGTATGCCCTTTGATTATCAAAACTACAGGTAAAAGGCTGGTTAAGTAAACTGTTATTCCAGTCTTCCTTGAAGAATCTTATTACTTTATGATAAATCTTATTCATGGAAGTTGTGTATTTAAATATATCAACTAGCTTTATTGAAGTCACCTAAATTTTAATGCATTTAACATCAGTTACTATTCACACTATGAGCATACCTGTTTTGAAAATCCAGAAGTTCAGCATTAATTTTTTCAATATCTACATCTGTCCAAAGTATCTCATAATAACCATTGATATTGTTAATTACAGTATCATATAATCCATACATTTTCTGAAGCAAGCCTAACTCCTTCCTGCGGGTAAAAAAAAAAGTCATGCCAATAATTTCAACCAGGTATTTGGATATATCACAATAGTTAAATACATGGTATAGGTAATGTTACTACAAAAAAATGGAGGTAGATCAATTAGATTATGTTTCTTAATGTAGAAAGGAACACTTCATGAACAAAATCCACAAAAAAGAGCAGATAGTTGGTGCTAAGGACCTAATATACACATTAAACACATTTGAGGGAAGTTTTGCTTTGGTCTGGTTCTGTAAAACTTTCATTCATCTGCAAGGAACCTAGTTTATGCACCCTGAGCTGCCTCTGCAGTGCAAAGCAGAGCTTGTAAAGTGGAGACCAGCAGTCAAATTAGTTTGGAAGCACTCTGAATCTGAACTAAAACGCTGATCTGAAAAAAAAACAGAAAGGGTCAGGTCCTGATCTGGTGTGAATCATCGTCAAACCATTGAAATGGCTGGCACAGGAACTTTAGAATCTGATTCCCATTTGTACAGCTGCTCAAAAAATTTAGACTTTCGTAAAAGCTATAGTTGCATTTTTCATGTATGATGATATATATGGCCTTTCCTTGCCTTTTTCTTGTTTGTTCTTTGTACCGTATTTGAATACATAATACTATATTTACTCATCTACTTATATGTAAGAGTGTATATATATATATATTTCTAGGCCATGGTATTCTGCTCCTTTATATAGTATTTACATGTAGTAAAATAATCTGGTATGGTTCTGTTACCCTAATAAATAAGTACAATCATTTTTTATTGGCAAATTCATTAGATCTCTAAAATTTTCATTGCTTTTTTATTTATTTATTTATTTATTATATTTAAGGCAATGGAAATCTTCCATACTGTACTATTCCCTCTTTGGTGTACCCTGAGCCTTTCTAACATCCTCAATAAACAGCTAAGACAGCTGTATTTCCACAGTTACCTGACTTTATGCAAAACTTCATAGTCTGTGACAGGCAATCCAAACAACTGTTCACCAGATGAGTATATGATAAACTTTCTCCACAGCTCGTCAAAGTTAGCCTGATAAAATTAGGATTCATACAGACAAAATGAAATTATGTTTATATTAGAAGTTTTAATTTAAAATTGTCTAATAATAAATCATTTAACAGTTCTAAAATTGCCTTATATTAATTTTACTAGAAACATATTTAAATGTCTGAAAATATTTTTGATCTAAAATTTTGAACAGTTCTTATGTAATACTCAAAACCGTACATTGAATTCAAATAGGGAAAATTTATGTAACAAGCAATAATTTGAAGAAGTGTTTTATAAAAACAGGATGTGAAATGAATTCCACGTCACTGGGGAAAGAAAAAAAAAAGGAAATATTTGTATCAGACAGTAAAATATCCAGCCTGGAAAAAAAAATGCTGAAGAGTGCCAAAAAATAAAATTACTTTAAAAGTATAACTGCTGTCCAAAGGATATGATCACAATAGAAAAATGCAAAGAAGAATGATTTTGGCAGTTACTATCCATAAGTACAAAGAATTGTCTTGGCAAAATAATAAATACAGCAAATTCAACCAAAATCACTCAATTTTCAATACATATTACATGCATCAGGAGGTTTAAGCACTTTCTGTTAGTGCTTTTCACAAACTTTGAATTTACTTTTTAGAGAGTTTATAGAATACTTAAGAGACTGACAAAACTGCTGTTGAAAAAAATCTTCAAGGTACTATAACTTGCAGAGAAAGGAAGAAGGACTAAAAATAGATTAAAAACTGGTTATGGACCTGTGAACTAAGGTTCCTAACAAACAAATATCAGGTTGAAAGACAATTATCTAATGGAAAATGTGATCTTTAAAAGATGAAAATATTGGGTCTTGGGACTGATATGAAACCTGGCTTCTAGTCAGTCATTACTGAGTTTTTGTACTTGACTCTTCCCTCTTTTATTATTTTATTTTTTCCTGCTTTTATTACTTGAAGTTGATAATTTCTGCTCACGAAACATGAAGAGTGAAGCAAGGATACACATCAATCAATCAATCAATTCTTCCAAATTGAGGAAGACACTGCCCAATAGAAACTAAAGTATAGTTAACATAATACGACACAGAATATCCACCGGGACACATTTACCAAAGATTATAAATGTGTCTTTCCTAAACTTGTTTTGATAAGCATTAGCAGATCTAATTTTAATTATTTGGAAAATCAACAGTTTATTTTCTTACCTGAAAGATCTGTAGCCTATTACTGGCTTCCTGAGGTGGAATACTTGGAACCATAGGTCCTTCCTTTCAAACAACCAGTTAACAAAAATTGAATATTAACTCTCAAAGTGATTGAAGGCCACTATATATTTACAGGTCATCACAAAATACTTATTTCTTTGGTAGTCAAAATCCAATTAAGTTATGTATTTTAGTTATGCAATACTTGCAATGGTAAATCTAAGAATAGATAACTTCCATGAAATTGAAAATTCTTCAGCTTCATTAAACTGAATAGGACTATCCTTTCATTTTTCATATTTGGCGCTCTTGCTGAAAATCAAATACCCAGTGAGTGGCCTGAGATAGTCTTTTCTAATGTTGATGTGTGAGCAAAAATGAAACAACATGTGCTACAATTTCTAAATTAATTTCTAAATTAAGGTTTTATGGCAAGTTGTATCACTAGGGATTCTTTTCTTTCCTTACAGAGTTGTGTGCACAGCTATTTCTTCATACTGAAAAGTTTGACCCACAACAATGACTGCTTAGCAACCATGGCATCAAACGTTCAGTAGCTCAGTAGAATAAAATTCTGACACCCAACTGCTGCAAACCAAAAATATTGAGGAACTAAGTACAAATCTTACAGGTAACTACTAAATTCATTTACCATTTCATATGACATTTCAAAGTTTGACACATCCTCCCGAAAAACTGCAACTGATTCTATAAAATTACTCTTAAATTTGGGCTGAACTTGAACCAACTTCTCTTGAACTCTGGTCTAACATACAAAAGATTAAAATCAAAGTTATTTATTTAAAAATCGGGAACAGATATTTGAGTTATATGTAAATTAAAATTGTAAATAAAAAGTATTAAAATCCTGAACAAAAAACAATTATTTGAAGATAAATAATTTTTTTTTCCTTTTGTGGTGCTGTATGTTCATTTTTGAGATGAAAAGTGGAAAGAAAAAGAAAACCAACCAAAAACCACAGAAAAATCTCACCTCCACCTTTAAGTGAACATGTTCCATTACAAGCAAGTGGGGGAACAAATGGACACAGAAAAGGGGGAAAAAAAATCATAGAATCATCGAATGGTTTGGGTTGGAAGGGTCTATAAAGGACACCTAGCTCCAACCCCCCTGCCATGGGCAGGGACATCTTCCACTAGATCAGGTTGCTCAAAGCCCCATGCAACCTGGCCTTGAACACTGTCAGAGAGGGGGTATCCACAGCTCCTCTGGACAATCTGTTCCAGTGCCTCAGCACTCTCATTGTGAGGAATTTCTTCCTTATATCTAACCTAAATCTTTCCTCTTTTAGTTTAAAGCCATTACTCCTTGTCCTGTCACTACACGCCCTTGTAAAAAGTCCTTCTCCAGCTTTCTTGTAGCCTCCCTTCAGGTACTGGAAGGCTGCAATAAGGTCTCCCCAGAGTCTTCTCTCCTCCAGGTTGAACAATCCCAACTCTCTCAGCCTTTCCTCATAGGACAGGTGCTCCATCCCTCAGCTCATTTTTGTGGCCCTCCTCTGGACCTGCTCCAACAGGTCCTTGTTTTTCTCCAAGATCCTATTTTCTTCCTTCCTTCCTTCCTTCCAAAAAACCTCTCAAAACCCAAAGTTTTAGGGTCCTCTTCCTCGTGGATGGCTCAGCCTTGTCTTTAACAACTTACTTCTTCTCGGTTCAAAAGCTGCATGAAATGCAAATGTAAAATATACTCTTCAGCTCCTGAGTCCTTTCCAGAGTGATTAATCTATGGGACAGGATCTAACTTAATTGTTCCAACAAAATCTACGTATTTCCATCTAATGTTTTACACTTCAGGAAAATATCCATCAAACATTGAGCTTTTGAGGGATACAAGACTGTCCTTAACAATAAAGGTAAATGTGCAACCACCACTTATGGGTAAGGGCACTGGAAGAGTATGCACTCTAATCTAAGTGGTAGTAATCTTCCTGATCAGAGAAGAATGACAGAAAATGTGGAAATGAAGGACAGGGGAAAGAGCAAAGAAAGACATAATAAATTTCTCATTTTCTTGCAGAATTTAAGCATGTGTCTAAAAGCTACAATAATACTTAAATGTTAAGGAGCTCTATGAAAAAAATTAGAAAATCAACATATTAATCGAAGGTATAACACACTAGTAGCAACAGAGGCCAAGAGAGAGAAGACAGAGTGGAGTGACAACTGTCATTTATACTCTGAAAAAAGCACATGAAGACAAATGGAACACAACATAGTTTTACACACTTACAGCTTTGGTCTGTAATTTATTAAAAGGGTATCTGAGTGTATCTACTCCTTCTGATTCCTCTTTTGTAACCTCAATTTCAAATGTATTTAAAATGGCATAGGATTCCTAGATGAAAAAAAACACAAACAAACAAACTTAGGAATGATAAATTTGAAGTTCATTTGCAGGAAGATAGATCGAATTTGTAAGAAATGCTTCAAAGAAAATCTGTTCATGTTTTTCAGGCATAAAACATTGATTTGTTTTTTTTTTTAAATAAGGATGATGAATGAAGAACTAGGGAACAACAGCAAAAAATACTTCTTTGAAGATGTCTTGGATGACATACTATAAAAAATATACAAACACAATAAATTTACTATTAAAAATATACAAAATTTTATAATCTCAATGGTATTTTTATTCCACAGATCTACATTCCACCTGAAGGTAGATTTTGATGAATTTTTCCTGACTCTGCATAATTATGCACAATAAACTACACATTTTAAAATGTTTTGCCATTTCATCTATAAAATATTTATTAAAATATGTTTGCCAAACTGTCAAATACCTGTATATGCCTGTTACAGAATAAACTTTTCTTATCGCTTGTTCTCATCTGCAATTCGTTTATCTATCTTCTGCTTTATTATCCTCCTCCTACACATGTGGCATTATTTAAAAATAAGATCATTTTCACATTTAATAGTTTCCCAACAGGTAAAGAAAAGTTTTGCTAATGAAGACAAACAGCAGTGTGCATTACATGTTAGCCACTCCTTTGATTTACAATTTATATTCTGTGCAGTTTGTCATGATTAATAAACAGTTCTTCATTCCATGCAGATACCTACACTTAGAACTCTCTCAACTTCTGAGAGGTGTAGACTGAAGCACAGACATTGCAAAGGACCTCTGGAGATTGCCTATTCCAGCCCCCCATGCTCAGAGCATGGTCACCTAAATCAGGTTGCCCTGGACCATGTCCAGTCAAGTTTTAAATATCTTCAGGGATGGAGAGTCCACAACCTCTCTGGGCAATATGTTCCAGTGTTTGAGCACCCTCACAGTAAATTTTTCTTAGGTTTAAATGGAATTTACTGTATTTCAGCTTTTGCCCATTGCCTCTTGTCCTGTTACTGGCTGCCACTGAGAAAAGTCTGGTCCCTCTTTCTTCCTGGACCCCATCAGGTACTTATACACATTGATAAAATACTCCCTGCACCTTCCTTCTCCAGAATAAATAGTCTCAGCTGTCTCAGCCTCTCCTCATACTTCAGATTCTCCAATTCCTTCATCAGCTTTTGCTGAACCCACTCCAGTATGTCCATGTCTCTCTTGTATTGGGAAGTCCAGGACTGGACACAGCACCCCAGATAAGTCTTCCACCCCAGAGCAGAGGGAATGACCCTCCTCAACCTGCCAGCAACACAACTCCTAACACAGCCCAGGATATCCTAAACCTTCTTTGCTGCATGGGCACTTTGCTGACTTATGTTCAACCTGGTGTATACCAAGAAACTCAGTTCTTTTTCTGCAAAGCTACTTTGTACCCAACCTGCACTGGCGCCTAGGGTTATTCATCTCCTGGAGCAGGACTTGACATCTCCCTTTGTTGAACTTCATGAGGTGCCTGTCAGCCCGTTTCTCCATCCAGATCCCTCTGAAAGGCAGCACAACCATTTGATGTGTCAGCCACCCCTCCCAGTTTTGTGTCATCTGGAAACTTGCCAAGGGTGCACTCTGCCCCATCTTCCAGGTACGCAGTACTTGAACCAGTAGGGACCCCTGGGGTACACCACCACTTACTGTAGTAACCTAGGCCTGTAACTGGATTTTGTGCTACTGACCTCAGTCCTTTGAGCCTGATAGTTCTCAGTCCAACTCGCTGTCGTCTCATCTAGTCCACATTTCATCAGTTTGACAATGAGAATATTATGGGAGACAGCATCAAAAGCCTTGCTACCATCACAATAAATAATATCCACTAGTCTCCCCTTGTTCACTAGTCATCTCATCGTAGAAGGCTATCAAGTTGGTCAGGCATGATTTTCCCTCAATAAATCCATGTTGATTATGCTCAATTCCCTTCCTATCCTACTTTTCCTTACATCAATCCCTACTTTCTTCAGTGATGTTCTAGTAAGAAATATAATGTCTAATCACCTCGTCAACAAAGTTCTACTTACATCCACTAAGAAAACAAGAAAAAAAAACATTGAAATTACTCATCAGTTGCGATTGTTCTGTATTCAGTTCTTGATTTTATCAGCTCTATATTATGTTATTATTTAAGGAAAGCTCATGAAAAAAGATCAAACAGTGACTTGTTAACATCATTAGTCTTTACTGGTATTAATGGAACTCATTACATCAATATAGAACTAGAGTAAATAGTTACAAGATATATAGAATAAGAGTGGTTTGAGAAAGAACCTTCATCTTAATATTAATCTCAAAGTCCCAAAAGCAGGTATAAATAAACCAGTAATATTAATACTTCACAATTTTGTATACCTTTTATTTATTTATTTACACTTTTTGCATCTTTTCCTATACGTGTAAAAACCTAGCAAATAGACAGTGCTGAACTCAGTTCCTCTTGCCTGCTTTATTTAAGCTCTATGAGAATGATTATCATGTCCATATCTTCAGTCTGAAGGCAATCAGACTAAGAAATAACATATAGTAGATCTGAGTATTACTTTAAATGTTGAAATTATTGTTCCGGTTCTTCCTTTACTTGTTTAGCCTCTACCTCTTTTGGATCAAAGAACTGGTTATTATTTGCCTTCAAATAGTCTCTGTACCATTCCTGGCTTAAAAACCACCCCATAAATTGCTAAGACAAAACCCACTTTCTTAGCATAAAACTAGCAAAAATTATGACAATCCACTGAGAGTCCTTTATGGTATCATGTTAATAGAAGAATCTTCAAGAAAAAAGATGTTACTATACAACAATACAATTTCTTCTCCAAAATGTGGATGAAAATGTAAAACAAATGCGTTCTATGAAGCTGAATGTTTCAGGGTGTGATAACAAATACCAAGTACGTGTAAAAATCCATGACCTTCTTTTAGCTTCTTTCTTATAGGGAAAACTAAAAGGATGCTGCAAGTTTCTGACCACGTACAATGATGTGCGGCTCCGCAAATATATTCTGGCTATATATAAAGGGGTTAGATGACCAAGATATTTGTTAATAGATACAGAAAAGTTAGGAAGAGGGTTAAGGCTAATGGCAAAGCACACAGAAAAAGGGAAAGTATTGGTCCTTTCTCTGCTTCTTTCTGCATGTTTTCTCCTAGTTTGTATATATGTTATAATGTATTTGAGAGCAAGTTTTTCTGTTCTGCATTCACAGAGTATCTAGCAAAGTATCTAAAACTGATTCATAATTTATAATAAAAATCACAACAAAAATACTACTTTGTTTCCCATCTTCAGCTAGATCATTCAGGACAGTAAACTCCTTGTTTGGATTCTCAGTTTATCTTATGACTCCTATTACATAATATCATTTCAATCAAGATAAAAAATTAAAAGTCATCTTACTTCAATAGGTCCCAGAGCCATATCCATTTGTATTTCATTATCACGTATGATAGATAAAGCTTCCATTGCAAATCTGAAGTCATCTAAGTCACACAGAGGTTGAGACAATTTCTTTAAATATTCAGTTATGAATGATGTCATGTCTGTCATTTTCTTTTTATATTCCTCATTTAAATAGCGACAGAGGAGCATCTTCCAGGCTTTGGCTTCAACTGCTAGTGCTATTTTCAGTGGTCCTGATTTAAATAAATAAATAAATAAATTCAATCTACATCTTAATTTTTTTCTGTTAATAAACCCCACATCATCACGTAGGGTTCTGTAACAGCAATTAGGAAAAGCAGAAAGGCAACCCAAATACTGCTTTTTAAAAGTTTCAAAAGAATTTCAACTACATTTCAACATATTTCTGTGGGTTTATTGTATATTATGATATCTATAAAACTTATTGGTAAGCTTATCTAATAGAACACATAGAGAAAATGAATAAAAAAGAAAAATGCCTACTTATTAATGTAGATTCTCAGATTATGCATTTAATTAATATGTACCAAAAGCATTAAGATCAGTGATATATAAATGGTTTATACCTATTGAGGAAACAGTATTTTGGGATTTCAATATTGGGATTTGGAATACTTCACAACCAAAACTGTAAGGCATCACAACATACCATATGCAGTTAATACATAACACAAACCAACACTGAAGAGACAGAAAAGCCAATCATTTGCACTCTAATTTATTATCAAAACAAATTAGGATTTTAATAGGCAACATTTTGTACTCTGTTGAAAGAAATCAAAAAATACTAACAACGTATAAGCCTTCTGCTCACAAAACAAATTTTACAGCAGATATAGTTTCTTCTTTAATAATGTGGATATTAGCATTAAAAATCTGATTCCTTAAGGCCAAGGGTAATTCAAGAAAAGTACTGTACCTTGTCCAGAAGCTAGAATATGTAAATGATAATAAATAATTTCCCAAAACTAAACTGAGTCCAAGAAAAATACTTGTTTCCCCAGATCACAAAAACATTTAGTATCGTTGTTCTTGAACCTAGAGGACTTGGCTCCTTCTGATGCAGCGATCACAGATCAGGGAGTACTGTGACCATCAACAAAATCCATATTCTTTTGCATACACTGCTTCTTATCACTCTTGGTTACAGAATAATAGACAGCAAGAGTTTTCCACAGTAAATTAACTAGCTCCATAGTGGTTTCATTAATAAGAAGTTGTATCCAGGAACTGGATGCGAATATGCAGTCAGCAGTTTGACAATTTTTCTTATTCACTGACAGAAAGCTAGGGATAACGTGCCACCAAGATCCTGAAACGAACTCTAGTTATCAAAGTGCGCAGGTTCTGTCTTCTCTGATGTATGAGGAAGACAAATTTTAAAGAGGTGATTTCTCGATTTAAACAATCTAAACTCTCAGAAGATGGGGCTTGCTCATTAGAAATGTGGCCACACTGATATTTGGAAAGAGATACGTTTACCAGTTGCCCCTAGATAGCAAACAACCATGATAACATCTGCCACAGAAAGTAAAAAGCAACAGAACAGTGACACTGGTCCAGAGAAGACATCACCTACATAATAATCTGCAAGGTGAGAGGGATAAGTGCCACTGAAGTTCTTGCTTATTTGTGATAGCGCTCGCAGCCCAGAAGGCCAACCATATCCTGGACTGCATCAAAAGAAGTGTGGTCAACAGGTCAAGGTAACAGATTCTGCCACTCTACTCCGCTCTGGTGAGACTCCACCTGGAGTCCTGCATCCAACTCTGAAGCCCTCAGCACAGGAAGGACATGGAGCTGTTGGAGTGGGGCCACAGGAGGGCAATGAAAACGATCCAAGGGCTGGAGCACCCCTCCTATGAGGAAAGGCTGAGAGACTGGGGGCTGTTCAGCCTGGAGAAGAGAAGGCTGTGGGTCGACCTTGTAGCAGCCTTTCAGTACTTAAAGGGGGCCTATAGGAAAGATGGGGACAGGCTTTTTAGCAGGGCCTGTGGCAATAGGACAAGGGATACCGGTTTTAAACTAAAAGAGATGAACTGAAAAGGTTTAGACTAGATATAAGGAAGAAATTTTTTACAATGAGGGTGGTGAAACACTGGAACGGGTTGCCCAGAGAGGTAGTTTTAAACTAGAAGAGATGAACTGAAAACGTTTAGACTAGATATAAGGAAGAAATTTTTTACAATGAGGGTGGTGAAACACTGGAATGGGTTGCCCAGAGAGGTAGTGGAGGTCTCATCCCTGGAAACATTCAAGGCTAGGTTGGATGGTGCTTTGAGCAACCTGATCTAGTTGAAGATATCCCTGCTCACCACATGGCGGGTGAGCTAGATGACCTCTAAAGGTCCCTTCCAACCCAAAGCATTCTATCATTCTATGATTTATTTCAGACAATAAACCAAACATATGACTAGTATATTCATTATCTTACTGTACATACAAAGCTAAGAAAATGTCATACCTGTATGCAATTCAATTGGACCAAGAGGAATAATGGGTTTTATATCTTCCACCTCTTCCTCAAATATAGTATAGTGAAGTATTTCTTTAATTTCAGTCAGAGATGGGCAGCTGGCCAAAAATTGCTGTGTGTAGTTTGAAAAGTCAATCAACAAATGTCCTTTTTCATATTTTTGATAAAACAAGTGGTAACAGTTGTTCAAGAATTACTGAAAATGTATACCAATATTATACCTGTTTTTAGCCTTCTGTAGTCTTGCTAGCATAGTAAAATTCGTGTGGTGAGGTGTTCATGTTTATCAATTTCTCTGTTAGTAACTCTCAAGCTTGTTGGGAAATTCCAGTCAAATTTAACAGAGAAACAGATATCCAAGACATATTAAGTACCCACTGGCTTTGTGAAAACAGGTGACAAAATAGACATCAAAAAATACATGCCTGCACTTACAGAAAAACTACACTGTTAGCCCAATTATGTGTGAAACAATCATAATAAACCAGATTTTCTAAGTGGTTCCATGAGCAGAACTCAAGTGTAGAAAAATTTTGCGATTCTGAAAGGCTGCATTTCAGAAATGTTACACAAGAGATATATTCAATATGCCTACATTGCATGGGCAAGTAATAAACACTGAAAGCTGTTTCCCACTTCTATTCTTGTGTCTGAGAGTACCCACACAGGCAGTGGAAGGGCTAGCACAGTGCTAAAGAAAGAACATAGAAACTAGGGCATGTGTGCATAAAACTTAATTGCGTTATCATGAAGGCTTTCTCTGTAGCAGTATTGTTTTCTTCAGTAGTAACTACATCAAATTAATAATATTTATTTGATTAGACTTAAAATTTTAATTAGTCTAACAGTAAATTCTCAGCTCTGTATATTAAGTGATGTTTTTTAGCCCCCATAAACTGCACAACCTGCATTGTGACACACAAAATATAGCAGTGCACCTGCAGTAATATAAGGTGATGCAATATTCATAGATCTATGTATATATAATGTAGTCTATTAAACAGAAAATATAAGAATAGAAAACTCAATTAAGCCAAGGCTAAATAAAGCAGATATAGAAGATATAGAAGCCAACTTTATTCTACTGAATCTCTAAATTCAAATTCTAAATTAAAACTCTGTTGTGGGACAATGTGAAACATTTTGAAGCAGATGTGCCAGAGACCTCTAATTCTTGGAAACGAACTTTTTCTTGTTGTAGTAGATGCTAAATTTTTCTACCGCACTTCAGGATTCAACTTAGAGTTCAAACAACCAAGAATTAAAAAGAGGAATCTTTCTGGAATAGAGAAAGCAGAACTGACTTCCTAAAATAACTACAGGAATGGTGGTGAATAAAAATACTTATTAAACTCAAAATAAATGCTTACTATAGATAATACTGCACAGTACTGATAAATAATGATGCTGTGGAAATTTCTATGAGTTGTGTTATACGTCACACCAGACTGGCGTAATTTCTTGTGGCCTAAAATCCAGAGTTCCACAAAAAAAAAATTAAAGCAATTAACAAATTAGGACCAGTTTATCAGTATCTAGAATGGCACAGAAGCAGGAAAAGCCAAACCCCAATATAAAAATTAGGTAGCATGCTATTACTTCAGCTTAGGAAATATACTACTGAAAAACTAAATAAGAATTTCAGCTTTTAACATGTTTTCTACATCTTTTTCCTTGATTTTTTCCTTCCTCAATGTTTTCTGATTTCAAAAAATAAGATTAATAAAGACCAGTCCTGTAGGTGATCATCCTTAAACTCACCTGAATTTTGGCATCTCTATCTTCTGTCCACAGCACCTCATATTTCTGAAAGTCCTGCAGAACTTCACTAGCTGCTTCTCTTATAGAATTCACCAAAGAAGAGAGGAGCAAAACTAATTTAGAAATATCTTCATGTTCTGCAACACCTGAGTAAAAATTTCTTAGCTTTCTGGCAAGCACAACATCTTCAACTCCTTCTGTAATATAAAATTATATGTAAATGAATGAACCTTTAGAAGTCTGGTTACAGTTCTCTTCTAAACCTATGCATGTCAAGTTAAGCAATGCTCGAGCGAATGCTTCCAAATGGAGAGAAAATAATCTTCATAATTCATGCATTTAATTTTTTTGACTGTGTTTTAATTGTAACTAGAACATGACAAGGTCTCATAAATATTCTGTGTTGTTTTCTATTTTCTTAAAATTCATATAATTGAAGATTTTAATTGTATAAACTGCTTAAAACTGTGTAAGTTTCTTGAACTCTAACATGTTTCAAATAAATAACTTCTTGTTATTCAATTTAGTGGTTTAAAAAAAATGCTAAACTTTGCCAAGCCACATATTAATGAGTCCACAAATAAAGTTTGTCATATTTTGGAACTGCACTTCTCTTACAAACTGCTAATATCAAAGTCCTTGGAGTCTTGTCTGAAAGAAGTTAGAACCGAATGAAGAAAAAGAAGAGAGAAAAAAAAAAGAGGAGGGAAGGACAATCTACAGATTTTCGTAGACCTCTTGCCTCCAAATATGCTTTCAAAGGCAGTTTAGACACTGGTAGCTGCAGCTCCACTTACACTATTGATATTGTAACAGGAGCTCTCTCTGCTTTAAGAACTACAAGTAAACTCAAATAGAAGGAAAATAAAATGCAATTTATCATGTCCCTCCTTCATCTTTGATGAATTGCTGAGACAATCAGGGTCAATATAAGACACTGATATCCCTGAGATCTGAGCCCCTCCTGCCGTAACATTGGCTAAGCATTTTGAAGCAGGCTTAAGAGAATGAAGAAGAAAAATCCACTCTTCCTACCACACACATTGTTTCATGGGGGAGAAGTAATGCAACTCCAAGTTCTCTTTTACTCTGAAGCCCTTTTCAGGGACCTGGTCACTGGAAACAAAGCCTCAGATTGATCCATCCTTGCCAGTGCACTCCACAGCTCTCATCAGCCAAACATTAACACACACCCCGAGGCAATGCTGATGAGAAGTTTAAAGGTGATGAAAATGGTTACTTCCTGATGTTGTATTTTGCCACAGCAGAACAAAAGGCTATGACTGTCTGATGAGGATAGTCACTTGCCACCCTGCTTGAAGCCCATTAAAGAGGTTAAAATCATACATATCACATTAGTAGAAGAATAAAGTCCCAGCTCTCGGCTATCAAAAAGAAAAGTTTTCCAAGATGTTATAGACTCTCCAAAGGACTCACAACGAAGATACAACTGCATTGCAGATCACTGGCTCAGCCAAGCAGTTAAGAGAACCAGACATTAAAAATATATGTGGGCTTTTGTGGATGCTTGCAAAGCATATGTAGAGAAGCTTAGAAATAATATTAAGGAAAAATTTATCTGACTAAAATGGATGCAGGTCTATCTACAGTCTAAATATTCACATGAACAAACACTTCAAGTGTTTTATAATCCATTCTAGGAATATAGCCAGCAATTAAAATCTTTACTGAAATCTAATTATTAAACTAGATTTTGTTCTACTTCAATATTCTAATGAGACCTGGTCTACGATCCTTGTTTATGGTTTCAACTATATCATTATGGCTACACTCCATAATAAGCAGAGAAAAAGATAAATTAACAAGCTTACTTTGTTTCAAATTAAATAAGAGATTCAGAATCTAGCATTTTGCTTACCATTTCTCAGAGTTATAACACTTACATAAGGCTGAAAAGCAATTTCTGAAAAATATAGCTAATTACAATAAAACCAACAAGTTAATTCAATATAATCCACAGTTGACCTCTTCAAAGAGAAGTGAGCTTATTCACAAATATTTATATATGGCATTTTTATTAAATTAAAAAGTTGAAATAAGTAAAAAAAAAAACAAAACTACTTACTTTCCCTCTTTTTGGCTATTTTTCCTGGTGATCCAAAGTGTGCTGAAGACACTTGCCGTGTGCCTGATTCTGCTCTTAAACTAGATTTTTGCAAATGTCTCTGTCCCCACTGAGCAACTCCACGACTTACTTCCAAGATCAAATGAATTGTGCGATTGATGGCTTGCTGTATATCATCTAAACTAGGAACCATTACCTATTTAAAACAGATGAAATGCTGTTGAAATATATGCGACTGTCATTTTCTAATAGCTCAGTTTTACTCCACTCAAGTGAATTGCAGAACTTCCCCTGGAAAAGAAGCTGGAAAACACAATTTTAAGAGTTTGTCTGGCTCTGAATTGCCTCTAAAGAAAGGAAAGATACTGTACTGACCCACTATCTGTTTGTACAGTCATACCTTGAGCAAAATGACAAGCAACTGTATAAGTAGATAGATTTATTGAGTTTTTTACAGTTATTTTTACAATTCCTACAACACTCTAAACAGCATTTTCATAATTATTTTTATAATTATTTTTATAACAATTTTTTATAATTTGTGGGAATGCATTATAAGCCTTGTTTCCTTCATTCTAGAATCTTAAAGCACGAACAATTGCAGGCCAAGAAACTCCTCTCTGTTGCTCTTAACCACTGGATACTAAATTCTGCGAGAGAGGATTGTAACAGGGATGGTCATAAAAGTATGTATGGACAGATCATTTTAAATATTTACAACTACAGAAGTTCTCCTTCTGAGTGCTTACCTATACATATATTCACACCATGGGTAATTTCAGGCAAACAAAATCACCTGGATCAAAGTGTCAAAGGTCCTAGTTGAATAAGTACTGAATAGGGCTTTTTTATCCCAAAGGTAGCATTACCTCAAAAACTTTTGCAAGAGCACAATGTTTAGTAAATTAATTTAACTCCATGCATTAGCCCTAGAGATCTCAACTTGTACATTTGGCAAGGATATTGCATCATAATTTTGAGAGCAATCCAATACTCATGTCAGAAGAGGAAGAGGAAGAGAACTCATATTCAAGTACCAGAGTACATGATAAAAAGAATTGGAAGGAAAACAAGGATTCTTGATCTGAATGAAGAGCAACTAGCGAACAGAATAGGGTCAAAACACAGGCTCTGGTCTGCCGTCATCCACACTGTATAAATGCTAGTGTGCTCCCTTAGCGTATTTTGGGATGATGCAAAAAAACACCGTCCCAGAAACAAATCAGGCAAAGTTCGGCACATAAAACATGACAAGGGTGTTCCTAACAGATAATTTGAGTGTGAACTCCAGGATTTAGGAAGAAAAGCGTTTACTACTGTGGATACACACCACTTCAGGTCAGCTCACTTTGAGGTCAAAGAACAGCCTCTAGCATGTTTTATTTAGTACATGTACAGCCATAAGGTTTTGAACCCAAAAATTTTTGAACTGTATTGGCAGAAATAATGCTAATTGTGACTTTGTCCTGTCCTTCTTAGAAAATAATTCTATGTAGGATAAAGTGGAGTAAAGGCACACGTCAGTTTATCCAAAATACTGAGCAGGAGGAAGAACCTTCCTGAGAGTGATCCAGGAAATAATAGAAAAACTGCATTTCTTGTTAAACTTCAAAAGAAAGATCACTCTTGGGACACACTTAATTCTCAAATATAGTCCTTAGAACATTATCTTATAGCTTTCATGTGCAAGCAATTATTTTGAAATTATGAAATCACATACAGGAGTGTTCAGCACTGGGATAAAAACTGTTTAAAAGTGGGTGGAGCTTGGGGCTTTATGCTTATATATATCAACAAGGAAAAAATTCTACATTTTGACAGACCTTATATATTGTGTGCAAGCACATAGTGTGAATGTACAACAGAATGCCAATATAAACACTTCTTCAGTGTCAAAAGAATGTCATCCTAGAACAGAACCTTACTTTCATTATAATTTCATTAATATGAAACTTGTAATCTTTGTAAGACAATTGGATAATATTAAGTTACCTTCTCATACATAAAATAAAATGCCATACATATTGCTGACACAGAGTTATCTCACTCTACAAAAGGAAATCAAATGCACTAATTAGTTCTTTGCAATCAAGCTGCTGTTTTGTCTCTGCACACAGAAGTCTACACTCTTTTCTTGGTTTCGAATCTTCTCATTTTTGTTCAGTGTTCTTCCTTCTGGTCGTCTTACTCCTGTTGAGATGACTGAAGCTAAACTGAGCAAACATAATGTTCATTCTTTCTGTTTAACAAAGGATTTAAATCACAGATGGAACAAAACAGTTCAAATAAAAAACATGAAAAATCTATTCCAGCAATGCAACTGCTACACGTGAAGGAGAACTGTAATCATTCTCCGAAGAACACTAATGAACAGATTGCCATATAATTGCTGAAACACACAAGAATAATAGAAGTCCAGGTTCTGCAAGTACCACTAAGAAAGAAACCAGGAACACTGGGACTGTGAGCACACTTCATCAGTGCTCTCAGCACACCAAAAGGCCTGAGCAACTGTTCTCCTTTGGAAAGGATGCTGGTTCATTAGGCGTGTGCCCACATCCTGCTCTTGGACAAATGCAGAGATAACTGTAAGACAGCATATTTTACCTTACCTATATGACACGTAACTTACCATATTGGGAATAGCAAGGTGTACTTCTGCTTTTATAAAAGAAGCTACCTCTTCAGATTTGCTTGGATGAACAGAAAACTTTGTTCTCCCAAATGCAGTTTTGCTAAAAATAATTGTGAAACGTCATAAGTACTACCACCGTGAAACCCCCTCAAATTGTCTTAGAAATATAATTTTGAGCTACCTTTTCTGGGCTAATGATCATGAATTTTCACATTAAGTTATGAACTACTTGACAAAACTTACAGAAGCTTCTTGTTTAAAGAGCTGTCGTGGTTTAACCCAGCAGCCAGCAACTAAGCACTAGACAGCTGTTTGCTCACCCCTCCCCTTCTCCCCCAATGGGATGGGGATGAGAAAGGATAAAAAGTAAAATTCGTGGGCTGACACTTTAACAAGACAACAAAGGAAATACTACTACTACTACCAATAATAATAACAACAGTAATAATGATAATAATGAATACACAAAACAATCTGTAAACAATTTTCTCACTGCCCCATGATGGACTCGCAGCCAGTCCCTGAGCAGTCATCACAGAACCCTAAACTCATGGATTTTGCAAATTTCACATGACTTCCAAAACAGGCCAAACTCCTGGGTAACAGAGGGTTCAAACTAATCGAAAAGAGAATTAAAAAAAGGAAAGGATTCCTGCCCCCCAACCAATGCCCATTAATAAACTGAGCATGACGCCCATTGCATGGAGTATTTCCACTGGCCAGGTTGGGCTAGCCATCTGGCTGCATTCCCTCCCAGCTCCTGCACACCTGCTTATTAGATGAATATGGGAGATTGGAAAAAGTCCTTGATTTCTTAGCAACAACTAAACGCAGCAGCAACTGAGAAGAAAATTTACACTATCCCAGCCAAAATCAGGACAAGGGTAAAGATAATAGCCAGAGCTCCATCATTCAGACATAATTACCTTGGATCTAGCCACTGCTTTCAGAATCTTTTATCCAGAATATTTTCTGATTCTGGATTTTAATCTCTCAATTTAAGAATGATGGAACTCTCCCTGTGCTTTAAGTAGGGCATAAGAAGGTTTTACTGACCATTTCATGCAACAATCTATCAAGAGTAAAAGCTGCCCCATTACACTTTTGATAAATATTCAACAGAACAGAAAAAAAAGTTTCAAAGATGACAAGCTACTGAAAATTCATAAATACATGACCTAAGCCCACAAAAAACTAAAAACAAAGTGTTAAGTAAAATTTCTAAATGCTATGACATGACACAGTGACCAAATAAGGGAGGATTCAACAATATGATACTGTAGAGAAGTATGAAGGATGCACCCGAATAAATTGTAATTGACTTCAATAAGACTGGGATTTCAACACATTTTCTATGAAAGAAGTCCTCAGAAAAAGAAAGTAACTCAAGCTTCAACACGCATTACTGACATAATGCCATCAACTTTACCTGCTTAAAATAAATTCTCTTAATAGAAATCTAACCAGGTTTTTCAATATGCAATGTACTATACTGAAGAAATGCTGTCTCTGAAGTGTATGCCAGTTCGAGCAGAGAAGAATCTATAGAGATTATACTCAATATAAGAGAATGATTAAGTCATATGGATCTTGCCATTATCACACAGAATTCATAAAGTAAACAGATGGTCTTTGATTCATGGGAAACAACTCTGATTATACAGCCATGCTTGCAGAAATAACCCGAAACCAGATGAAACTATGGGCACAGTTCCATATATGACTTAGAATGGTCATTTAAGTTCGAGTCATTTGTGTTAGACAGTAAATTGTACTAACAGCGTCTTGAAAGCAATATCAAGGGAAACATATGTCAATAAAAACCAAAGGGTGAAGGCAGAGGAGAAACAATAGTAGAAATAAACTTCATTTTCTTCACAAAACAAAGTGCATAAACTATAACTAACAACATAAAGAACTAAAGTATAAAAGAAAAGTGTGTGCCCAAAGCATCACTGCAACAAAAAGTGAATGCACTCCAGGGTTTGCTGGAGCTAAAAGAGCCAAGAGGTTTGGAACTGTTTGACTAATGATACATGTGCATGTATAATTACACATGTGAATGTATATGTGTATTATTATATTAACACAGAAATGACTTTGTTCTGATAATACCACTGAAAGAATATTTTATTTGCAACTTACGGTGAAAGAAATATTCCTTTTTTAAGACTATCCAAAGACAGCTGGGTGGCTTTCTGGAGGCTGTCTAGCATCTGGTGACTGAAATACGCAACCATCTCTTTACATCTCTGTAATAAATAAAATGTACATTATTTAGTATTGTATTTAGTCAGGAACCTGAAGATTATTTCCAAAGTTTTAAAGTCAAACATATTAGCTCTTGTCTTCAGGAATTTATGCTGTAAGCTACATGAGAAACACAAGGGGAGAAGTTGCAGGAAAAATAGCTTATAAGTAATTACATAAGTAAAAGCTGCATGAAAAAGAGAATATAACACCCAGTGAAACTCAATTTATCTTATTCAGAGACACAATACTGACATCTGGCTGAAGTCTCATAGTCCTTCAGAAAAGATCTCCATACTACACATTATCATACATATTATACATTACTATACTATCTGGACTTCAGTAAGGCCTTTGACACGGTCCCTCACAACATCCTTCTCTCTAAATTGGAGAGATATGGATTTGATTGGTGGACTGTTCGGTGGATAAGGAATTGGTTGGATGGTCACATCCAGAGGGTAGTGGTTAATGGATTAGTGTCCAGATGGAGACTGGTGACAAGCTGTGTTCCTCAGGGGTCCGTACTGGGACCTCTACAGATTAATACCTTGATCAGTGACATAGACAGCAGGATCAAGTGCACTGTCAGCAAGTTTGCAGATGACACCAAGCTGAGTGGTGCAGTTGACAAGCCTGAGGGACGGGATATCATCTAAAGATACTTGGACAAGCTGGGCAGGTGAGCCCATGTGAGAACCTCATGAGGTTCAACAAGGCCAAGCACAAGGTCCTGCATCTGGGTCGGGGCAATGCCCAGGATCAATACAGGCTGGGGGATGAAGGGATTGAGAGCAGCCCTGCCGAGAAGGATTTGGGGGTGCTGGTGGATGAAAAGCTGGACATGAGCCGGCAATGTGCGCTTGCAGCCCTGAAGGACAACCATATCCTGGACTGCATCAAAAGAAGCATGGCCAGCAGATGATTCTGCCGCTCTACTCCGCTCTAGTGAGACCTCACCTGGAGCCCTGCATCCAGCTCTGGAGCCCTTAGCACAAGAAGGACATGAACCTGTTGAAGCGGGTCCAGAGGAGGACCACAAAAGTGATCCAAGGGATGGAGCTCCTCTCCTATGAGGACAGGCTGAGAGAGTTGGGGTTATTCAGCCTGGAGAAGAGAAGGCTCCAGGAAGACCTTATTGTGGCCTTTCACTGCTTAAAGGGGGCTTATAAGAAAGTTGAGGACAGACTTCTTAGCAGGGCCTGTGGTGATAGGACAAGGGATACCGGTGTTAAACCAAAAGAGGGTAGATTTAGACTAGCTAGAATAAGAAATTCTTTATGATGCGGGTGGTGAAACACTGGAACAGGTTTCCCAGAGAGGTGGTAGATGCTCTGTCCCTGGAAGCATTCAGGGTCAGGTTGGACGGGGCTCTGAGCAACCTGCTCTAGTTGAAGATGTCCCTGCTCACCGCATGGGGGTTTGGACTACATGACCTTTAAGGGTCCCTTCCAACCCAAAGCATTCTATGATTCTATGATTGAAAAACCCCACCGTGAATTATCCAAGAATATTGGTGCATATATACCCTTTTCAAAGAAGAGACAAATATAGTAAAATCTGACTGTACTGGATTAAGAAGCACATAGAAATACAGCAAGGTGTAATTATCACTAGCACAAAACAGAATGCAACCTTGTAACACTATTGCATTTGTCCTTGCAATTTTGTGAGTCCTTGTTCTCCTACTGCCCTTCTCTGCTGAATACAAAGAGGTTGTATTCTTGAAGGAAAAAGTACAAAGGTGATCTTTTCTCGGTGAAGTAGGAAAAGGATAGAAAGTATGACTGTTTCTGCCCACTCAAGAAGGAAAGCTCGTGTTACAGCTTAGGCACAATATTCTCTCCAAACTTTTACACTTACCACTAACATATTGAGCATTTTTTTCATAAAGGTGATAACTGCAACAACATGGAATATATTTTTGAAAGCTCAAATCCATCTTAAACTCACTTTGTAGGGAAGCTATTTCACCATTTTTACAGGACGCTTGATATTTTCTATGTGATATCTTTCTGTACCACTAATAACCAGCTACCAAAACTCAAGACATTGTTTACTAATCTGATCTATCTACTATCTCTGGAAAAAATTTCCTTCTTATCACAAAATACCTTTTTAAACTCTTCTTTATCACTGCCCTTGCTATTATCACCACAAAGAGCTGCAGAAGTATTCTTTTCTCTCTCCTCTTCATTATTTCCAAAGACTACATGTTTCTCTTTTACTGCAAATTTAAAAAAATATGGATTTTTTGTTAACTGAACATTGTGTTCTGCTTTGAAGCATGATGTCCACCCTCTTCTCAGGCAAAACAATACTACTATTTATTTTAGTACTACCTGGATCAGGTAATTGGTATTATTTCACACCAGGAATCTGGTTAAGAGCCCAGCTATAAGCCTCAGCCTAACAAACACTATGCACTACAAATATGTTATTAAAGATAGGTAGGCAGATATGGATATATCAGCTGGAAATGGCAAAAAAATAAATCAATATAAATAATTTCACAAAATACAGACAAGTATCTTTTCATTAGGTTTTACTGTTTGCATCATATTGAACTTCCTGGAGTATTGATCCAGACCATGCCTCTATACCTGCAGGAAACTGAACCCAGAAGAAAAAAAATCTGTGTAAGGAGCTCCATTACTGAGTAAACCTCAAAATACATTTTTCCTTACAACAGAATACTTTCTGCCAGTTAGAAACTAATTCTCTTCTAATGGTACAGGACCTCCTAAAATCTTTTTAACATACCCCAGAGCAGGTGGGAACCAGCCATATTGATCACCTGTAAGCCTCATACATTAGCAGTTGATAGTAAATTGACTACTAATTTAAACTGACCAGCCATTAAAACACTGGTATTTGAGATACAACTCTCATGAGACAGAAAAGTTACAAAGAGAGGAGCAATACCAAATACCTGATATAGCTGAGAAGAGAGGAACACTGTATTTCACTTATGGAGGATAAATAAATAAATAAATAAATAAATCATAATTCGTGGCTAAGACAAACGGAACCATAATGTTCTTCTTCTAGAGCAAACACCTTGGTAATCTAAACAGAAGGACAGAGTTTAATTATAGAAATTCCACCAATATTGAATTACCTCTGTATTTCATAGACTAGTGGTTTAGTTTAACAGTGGTAAATGAAGGCAGAACTGAGACAGATGAAAGTGTAGTGGGAGGGAGGAGTCTGAAGAAAATCAGCTAAAACAATTCCATTATGACACGTACAAGCTAAATCTACAGAACTAGAGACAGAAATTTTTGTTTAAATAATCAACGTTATCTACCTGGTAATACATGTTTTTCTGAGGTTTTCTTAGAATATTTAATTTCATCATTCTCTTCAAATACAGATATTAGTTCTTGAACAGCATCTTCAATGAGCATGCTTTTGTAGTTTAATAACTCAGCACATTCTTTAGTGTAAGTCTGTTAAATAAAAATATCAATGAATTATCTTAGTATCACTAATTATCTTATTACTGTTCCTCTTCACGGAGAACCAAAACATTTCTCTGAACATTGCATTCTTCAGACAAGTTATTCCAATGAAACAGCAACATTTTTAGAAGAAAACTGAGAAACAAAAGCCAAAATCTTTATTCAAAATCATAAAAATCTTCTGTTATATTATCACTATGCGTTTTTTTTTTCCATTTTTCCATTTTTGAAATGCATTGGTATTTTTAAGGGCCAGAAGAAAACCTTCAATATTGAAAGGAGTTCACAGTCTGAATCTGAAATTACCCAAATACTCTTCCAACTATCCTTAACAATTTTATTTACTTGCACTAATTAACTAACTAAGTACATTTTTAAGAAAACATTTCAAGAAAAGTTTCAAATTCTGAAATATAGTTGTTGGTAAGTATCTTTTGCCTTCACCTTTAAAAAAACAGATTAGAAAAAATAGGAAAAATAAAAGACTGCACATGTCTGAGGATCTTCATACAAAAATAATCTCATTTAATTGTGAAGCAATTAAATAAACATTTATCTATGAAACAGATACAGCTTAAGTGTCTCAAATACCTAAGAACAAATGCATCTTCATAAAAAAAAAATTATTAGAATATTTTGTTTAAAAGTTCTGTATTTCTACAGTGAGAAGAATTATTTTCTAGTTTTATATTAATGTACCAAGGCATTGTTTCTATAATGCTCAAGAATTCAAGTTCAAAGTTGTAAAGTGGCACACACCTCATTGCAGGTCAGTATATTCTCTACTTTCATAGGACCATCTGGTAAGACAATTAAAAGTGTATTTGATATTTCTTTTAATATTAAATCAATCTGCACTTCACTTAAATCACTAACCTGAAAAGAGAAAATCATATTAATACTGTACATTTATCTTTAAAGCATAATATTTTATTTTAGAGAGTTCTGACAGCTATATACAGTGTTTTCCAGAAAAATTAAAACTGTATCTCTACCCTTCGAAAATGTAAGAACCCTACATAGTAGAAAATCCTCTAAGAAAGTGAATCATTAGAGAAAAAAAACGTGGAGTAAAACCACCAACGCAAAAGACCTCAAGATGAAGAGAAGCAGAGAAAAAAGGAAGCACAGCAGCACCTCGTGAGTTATGGTGACTTAGGGGATATTTACAATGGCTAAATATAGTCTGCTTTTACTATTAATTATCCTCTTTCTCTATTATGTCCAGAGGGAATTTAGCAAGACAAGCACCCTAAAAAAAATTTAGTCTTTGTTAACATGTTCTATTGCAGACAATCTGGAATATGAACAATGAAAGAACAGATGTAAATCTGGTAACTATACAGTTACTATTGCTGCAGAAAACAAGAACTGGATCACTAAGAGTGTATGTATTTAAATCCTGCACAAAGAGATAACACAATTCTAAAAAGATTAGTAGTGGGCACAATTTCATTTCAAGCAGTCTTCTAAAAACAAAGAGACACATGAATGCTTGAGAAAGTGAAATCTTTAGAGGAATTTGGGGCTTCCACATAATTCTTCACAGATTTCTGGTTATCAACACCATATTTTAAAATTAACTGTGGAATTGATTCACAGACTCTACAAGCCAGGACTACTTCTGCATCATAACAGCAATGATCTAATTTTTGAATGAGCTTCTTTTGACAGTTCAAAGAGCTGTCCAGTCTCGGAGATTAGGTGAATGAGTGATAATGGAAAGAATTATCTCCTATGCCTTGAGAACCTCATCAGAAAGTTGTCCCAAGACTAAAAGTAGCTTCCTTAAAATTGTTTTTCTTCTGTCCTGAAAGCTGAGGAACTGATGGAATAGAAGAGAACTCTTGCTTCATGGTGTTATCCATGCTAGACTCCTGAAGGGTCCTTGCTGTTTTAACAGCAGTTTTAGGCAGATAGGCAGCAATAGTAAGTCAGACCCCAGATCATTCCAGTTATGCAGGATACACTGCTGCAGGATTAAATAAAATAAAGTAATAAAACAAGCTATGTTAATATAAGATGATTAGATTCTTGCTCATGATCTTACTGTCCATGACTCTCACTGCAAGGCAAAGGGGTGGCTGCTGTAACTTACTTGATGGTTTAGTCTGCAGTCCTTCTCCTTTTTTACTCAACATAGCTTCCCACTGGGTTTTTGATTCTAAATTACAGCATTATTAGCATTCAGTCAACTATAGTGAAGTGGCTTTGTCATGGCAGAATCCAGTTAAAACTGACTTCTGTCCAATGTTTAATTTTTTACCTGAAATATTCTGCATCTGTGATATCCCATCTTGTTTGTCACAGTATCACTCATGCTTCTGTTTTACATCACTTTTGCTCTATTTATTTATAATTTACCTTTACAGTCATCAAGTGTCTAACCAAGTTTACATCTTTTTGTATTGAAATTGGAGGGGCAAGAAAGTCAGAAATGTACACAACCTACACATTTAAGGAAAATAGAGTGTATCTACAAAAGACATGGTTATTTCAGATATACTCAGGCTCAGAGAACAATATTTTCTTCAGCGTTGAGTTTCATGGAAAACAGAGCACTTGATCATAATTATGTATTTCTGCCAAACAGAAAAAGAAGTGGATACACCCCACCAGTGACTAACAATCTCCTACAACAGAACACAAAATTTATGATATTGGTAACAGAGATCATAGCCATGGAGTTCAACCACGAAGCCAGAACTATGATCTGACTATCAAGGTAAAGTCTCAAGAAGAAAAAGAACCAATACAGGTTGGACCTGTTAATGCAATCAAAAGATTTCAGAAATTATGTGGGAAACACGAAGAGAGGAAAAAAGCACAGAATCAATCAGCATGCAGAGAACTGTGAGAGAAAAAAATGCTCCACTTCATTATTTTATAGACTGCAGAAAGAGGAGACAGTTTCACAGCATGCCTGCTATGAATACTGTTATTGCTAAAAAGTTTTCCACTGGACAATGTTTACATGGAGGTATCTCGTGTGCAACTGCACTCACAGACAAGCACTCAAAGAGAAGCAGAGGTTGACTCTGAAAATCAGAGTGGTAGTCACAGAATCTGAGGACAACAAGTGGAAATATATTCTATTGCAAGAATGAAGGCAAAGATGAAACATTTGATGTTTGTTTTTCTCTCCAATAGTGGGAGAGAATCATTGAGTATATAAAAAAAAAAAAAGAAAATACTTTAGTAAGTAATAAGCAAAGAAAATTTCTATGTATTTCAAATGGTACAAAAATAAGTACAGATTAATTTCCAATATGAAGAGCAGTGTACTGGAAATAATTTCTCTAAACTGTCATTTCATTTGTATAGTGACCAAGTGTATACCTTTTTCAAAAACCATTTAAACATACACAGAAATTGATCAGCTTCTTCAAAGAAACTTTCCAGTGTCACAGATGACCAAGTCAACTTGGTAAGTCCTTGCCTCAACACAGCTTCCATCTAAGCATAAAAATACAATTATATAGATTTAAAAAAAAAAGAATCATGATTTAAAACAAATGCCATTATTATCAAATCACTAATGTCACTGATGAAAGCACGAGTTGTGTCTATGTTTTGCAAGGAAGTTTACAATTTTTCCATGAAGACATTAAAAAAAAATTATGCAATATAGGGGAAGGGGAGTGTAGTGCGTACTATAGCCTCTATCCACAACTGTCAAGTGTACATGCTCAGCAAAGATCTTCCCCTTTCTGTTCTCCTGGATAGTGTCTTTTAGTGGTTCCCACTAGTTCCTAAAATTAAAATCAAGTCCACAATTTATCTTACAATTTGTCCTTTAGCAAATATCTTGATCACCCTCAACAGCACAATTACTTGTCTTTCAACCTCACGTATCCATCTAATGCCATTTTTCATTTGTCCCTTTTTGAATCACACTGATCCTCTCCAAATTTTTTTATAGCCTTGACGCTAATTTAAAAAATCCTCTCTTCCCTATGATTTCCCTTACTGAATTCTTGGTTCTCCATAGTCTGTTTTGTCTGGATTTGTCACTACCAAGATGTTCAGCATGTAGCTGCAATCAGCTCATTTCCCTGTCACTATATGATCCACACCAAGGTCCTTCCTTCATTGCAGAATCTGTACCTTTGAAGGAGATGAGTCTTTGAGGAAAACGGAAATTTTGTACTACCACCAGGCTAGGAAAATCAGCCTTTCCAGACTCACTCAGAGATCCCCTGAAATTTTTGCCTTGCACTCCAAAACTTTGCACTGATTTCCCAGCATACAGTCATCACAATTTTAAATTTTGCCATCCCCATCATCCTTGAAATGACAGAATTTTAATTTTTCTTAATTGCTGAAAGACTTTGAACTGATTCCACTCATATTTAATTTTAAATAGCCACCTATCTTATCTGCTCTTTCATCTTGACTTTTATCAAGTCACTGCCTGGACTTCACCCACTCTCTTCATCCTAATGCTTCTTTTTGATATGTCCATATCACAGATAAAACAACAAATTCAGCTCAGATAGACACACAGCTATTTGTAAATACAGCCATTACTGTCACCTTAGTATATATGTTTTTGGGGAATATATTTAACTCCGCAATGCTGGGATAGTAACAGTAACCAACGCAGCCAATCTGGAAACAGGTTAAGGCTCTACATGGGTTGTTGTCAATTTATGACACCAACATAGCCATAGGTTAGATCTGCTCATTCCATCTTTAGATTTCTGTTTTCCTCTCTTCTTCCTATACACCGAAGACTTCTCTTCCTTCTTCAAAAAACATTTTCATCTTCTGTTGTTCGTACGATACTCATCCTTCTCTTTTGCCAGTTGTTTCCTCTAAAATAGAGTTTATGATTCCCTCTACTATATAAACATGTTTACAGTAGTATCACTGAAGTGAAGACTACCATCACTTTCTCTCTTTGTCTTTTATTATTTAACTCCTAAGAGCAAGGACAAGTTTTTTGTTTCTCACACTTCGTCACATGCCAACTATGTAGTTACACAAATTTATGCAAACTCAGCAACCTTCTGATGTTCTTATTTACAATCAAAAAGGGAAGAGTTACTTAGAACAACCACATACATACACTTGCAAGTGTCTGGCAAAACAAAATGGCTTGTAGGATAGACATTCTGCATCTCCAGTAAAAGAGTACCTCTAGTGTAGTATATAACCCTTCTACATGACTAAAGAGACTGACTCAATTCACAAGGCTAATCATTCTCTCCAAGAATTCTCTTAATTAAAAAAACCCAAAACCTCCTCATAAAATTATAGGGTTACATCCAAAAAGCAACTTAATATCTATCCCTGCCCATCAGCATCCCTTGATTCTACTGCACCTTGAAAAGGCAAGAACATATTTTCAAGAAAAGAATTTTTAAAAAATGGCAGGCTAATGTATGTAAATACTTATGGTAAGGAATATAATTTTAATTCTTTAACACAGTTCTGTTTAGACATTTCCAAATGATACACTCCGTGATACAAATTTTTGCAACACTTACCTACGTTATCTATTATTCCTCTGAAGGCAGTTTAAACTCTTATGTTAGAGCATGAAGGGAAAAGCATGCCGGTCACACCATCTACTGCATACAATAATGTTATCTGCAGCTGTTCACTCTTCAGCTGCTGTTAGGAGCACTTTCCTCCTAACTGGGCAGTTGCCTCTGGTGACTGAGTCACCTACCCACTGAGTAAGAGCGGAGTTATCTTTCATGTTACCCAAAGGCTAGTAGTTTAGATAGGAAGAAAAACATTATATAGCATACTGCATTTTTAACTTACATGGCTTCCATAATTTTACTGAAGATTCATGACATTAAGTGGTGTTTCCCCTCTTTTCTCTAAAGCATTGGATCTCAGATTTGCAAGAAATTGCAGCTTTCGTCTTCCTGAAAAGAAGTTTTACTTCTGGTTTATTTATAAGTTTAGAGTCGTAGTGTAGAAACAGGGTCATTACAATGTACTACCTGTTAGAATATTTGTCATTCTTATTTTGTGCTGATTTTTTAATATGCATAAGGCTAAAAACTAGGTAATTATTTAGTGCTTCTGGGTGTCTTGATACAGTTGTGTACTTACACAGAGGAAGAACAGAGTAGCTTAGTGGGGTATGACTCAACTGCTGATAAATTTTTTAACTGAGGCATCAGAAAGCTCTTAAGCCTGAAGCCTTGTGTTTTTAGGATAGAGCTCAGGTATTCCTCTTCTTGAGTTCCATGCATTAGAAACACAAAGGAACAAAAACATTCCTGGTAAACAAAGTGAGGAAGGGAATCAAACCACTTTTGGCAGATTTTCATTCTCTTTTAATAGTAGAGTATTTTTTATATCTTGAACCTAGAAAATGGACAAGGCTAATTAACTACTGCATTACTCATTCCTGACTTTCAAAATAGCTGCAGAAAGCTAAAATCAACTTAAAGCTCCCATAACATTAGCTAGGAACTACTCTGGTATATACATACTGAAAGATTAGGCAAGTTAAAGCCACCTAGTTTCCCCTCATTTTGCAATTGCATTATTTGGTCCTTGTATGGAACAGGGAAGGGGGATTGAATCTGCATTCTAAAGGAAAAAAACCAAAAGCGGAAGAGGAGACTCAGTCTTGACATATCAACCCATAAAGTGGTATGAAACAGTATAATATGTCAATATGGCTTTGAAGTACAAGTGAAAAATAAGCAATCAAAATGGTATATATATTCAGACAGTAAGGAGGAGGAGGCAGGAAAGATCTGCTCATAAGAAGAGGAAGACTGTAGAGATCTATGCCTTTGAGAAACAGATGTGTGGTCTGATTTCGTCTCTCATTCAAAACAGAAATGGAAGTTTTCCTAAGTACATGGAGAAAAAGTCATCCAGAGAACTATGTTTTACAACATACCAAAATGAGCTAGCACATTATATGCTACAGAAACACTCAGTGATTTGTCATGGAACTCTCCGCCACTTCCAAGTAACTACGTGAATTACTCTTTACTTTTTAGACAGCTTTCCAACTGTCCTTTATGGTGTAATATTAAAAACTTGATGGAAAACACAACATTTGCAGCTGAGGAATTCCCTTTCCAAAGAAGTACTGCTCTTCTTTTCTGAGAATATCTGCATGTGAAAAAGAGTTGGTTACTCTCTTGTGTAGTTGATG